GTAGTTAATAAAACTTGTCTTAACTAAAGGTTTCAAATACATAGATGCTTGAGGGAAGCAGGTAGCAATGCTGATCCTGGATGTTGAATACCCAGTGTGTGTATGTGTCAAAAATTGTATTTTTATAGTCTAAAAGGATGAGGGTTTAAATGTAGTAATGAAGAAGCTATGATGACAGTAAACAATGGTGATGATAAATAGAAGGCAGGTTGACAGTTACGATGATTTGACTGTTATTTTGGCTACATGCATGTTGTTTTTTTTTTTTTTTCTTTTTTGATAAAGACTTCTTTTGTCTAAAGACTTTCATTTATGTTTGCAAGGTAGACGCATCACCATTGCTATCAGGTTTGTTCCCACCATTCCTAGAAGTGAGGAGTAATACCAAGTGATTAATAAGGTTGTTTACAACTGGTTTATACTAGTGGATCTGAACAGTGATGTTGAAACATACGGGGTTTCTCATTTTTTTTTTTTGTTTGAGAAGGAAGGAAGCATGGGTAGGAAGAAAGAAAACGGACAGAACGGAAAGAAGTGAGTGAGGAAGGCATGTGTTTGAGAGGGGAAAAGAAGACTAACATGAAGAAAACAGAACACAAGATTATACTGCAGTCAGAGAAGGAGAGGTAAAGAAAAGAGGTAGGGAATCATGGCTGAGCAGAATCAGCCACCATATTGATAGACAAAAGAAGTGGCAGAGGTTTCTCAGTTTTGGACTGTGAGAAATCTTGCATCTGAGTTTAGGAGGATTTGGTGTTCCTAGAGCTCTGTAAGATTTCTGAAAAGTATATTTTGACTCATTAACAAGGAATGCTTTTTTTTTTTTTTTTTGATCTATTAAGCCTTTATTTCCTGTGACTTCCAACAGTGATAGAGAATTACAGGCACTTAGTTTTATAACTAAAACTTTCCTGAGTCTTGCATAAATTTTAAGTAAATGTCCTGATTGGTCTGTTGCACCACTGGAGCAATGGAGAAGAAGCCTTTATGGTGAATCTGAATGTAAGTTACTCACCATTTCTGTTGGTTAGTACTTATTCCCTTCAGCACTGTTAAAAGCATGTTAATGTGCTGCAGCATAAATTAGAATCATACTCGGAAATAGCAGTTTCAGTACACACTGTTGCCATGGATGTATTGCGTTGTATTGAGTGAGTTACTAGTTACAGATGACTTGAGACATAATGCACCGTGAACATCAGCAGTGTAGTTAGATTGTGATCACAAATGTGGGAGTGAACTTTGCTACATTTGACAAGACAACAATGTTTTATAATGTGTTGGTATTGTGTATGTATATAAGTCTAATCTTGGCATGGTATGAATAGAAAGGCCAACACAACACAAAATGTGAATTAAAAGTTACTTGCTTTGAGATAATTTGAGGTTGAAGGGAGTATGAGATAAAATTTGTAGATCTCTGAATTGGTTTCAGGGATGCATGGTAATCCAGATCTACATAACATAGGATTTGAGAATTAGTAGCTGTTTGCTGTCTATAATGATGATATATCTTAAAAATGTGTGTGTGAGAGATTTTGGAACACTGTTATGTTACATAGGTATCAAATGAGCAAAAATGACCATAGCAGTGTTGGAAAGAGGGTGTATCCAAGGGTGTTGATAAGGATAGTGTTAGTAGCTGATTGACTGCTCTTCAGTAGAAAGTGACTGTAGACTTTCAGACTTTTTTTCTGTACAGATTGTCCTTTCTCTAAAGAGCAGCTGAGTGCATAAATTGTGTCGCTTCTAGCAGCTTCTCTCCCCGGTGGGTACAATTCAGAATTGATGGGCTAGTAAATGGTAGCAAAGCGGTTTCCCTCTTTGCCCGTTGTCCTTTTCATCTGTCCCATTCTGGTTGCATGGCAGTTCTGGCTTTTATTACCAGGTACAGATTTTGGTCACAGCACCTGCACGTATCAGCCCCTCGTGGGTTTTATAAAAAGGACAGTTCCTTGGCAGTTGAAGGCATTTAATTAGTGATTCTAGGGGACCTTAGTCAGTTTTTCCCTTATTGCCCAAATCTAAGAAACACTGAAACAGTGATCAGTGTATTTGGGATTCACTCTTGTTTCTACCCCACATTAGAAATAATAACAACTCATAAAGTATTAGAATACAGGATTAATACACCCTGAGATATATAGTGTGTGACTTTAAATAATTCTGTTCTTCAAATCTGTTAAACATTAACTCCTAATAGTCAAATCCTTTTTTCTCAAATATAGAAACATAAAAAGTCATCTCATAAACCTATTTATTCTATGTTTTACTTTAGTTTGTATTTGAGTAAAGTTAAATAACAGCTTCAATTCAGTATGTTAGATATATTTATTTTTTTAAAATGCACATTGTTACATTGGTGACATTACATGGAACTTATGCACAAATTAAGAAGCATGATTTAATATTAAATTTATGTTTAATACAAAGTGTTATTGTGTGTGTGTGTGATTTACAATATTTTTAACTTGGGAGTTGTATGAAACAAAGTGTTGTGAAACATTAGATTTATAAAACACTAAAATTTGAAGTGAGCTCTGTAAGCATAAGAGTAAGCTCAGGAAAGGATTTTCTCAGGAAAGGATTTTCTCTTTTTTTTTTTTTCCCAGCTGTATTCCTCTGGAAAAACTTGCGTTGAAGGCAGCACTGCGGTGTAAACCTCTCTATTTGTTCTTCCAAAGAGCCTGGGATGGATACTTTTCAGGGCAGTCAGAAGTGGTTATACAAGAGGGCCGTGTGGTTCCCGCCTCCAGGTGCTGAGGGTTCTGCCTCTGCGGTGTACTGAGGAAGTATGGGCTTTTTGGCAAGGCTGGTTTTTGTCTCAAGAAAATAAATCAATTTATTTCCTCTTGAAATAGTAAAAAGGGTAGGAAGTGGAATTTGTTTTCTACTGTTATAAAGCAGGTGTCCTTTTCAGTTGAGATGCTTATTCTTATTTGCTGGAGGACAAGGGTTGATAACAGTGCTATAATTTTTCTTGCCTCCCTGTTACTTTTGACTGTGATACTTTCTATAAAGCTTCTTTGAAGTTGCTGCTCTTTTGACTGCCTTACTACTGCTCTGGCATGTGTGAATGTCTCCTTATGGAAACTTGGCTGGAGACAAAAGTGAAAATAATAGCTTTAAAATGGCACGGGGAAAAGTCAAGGGAAAAGATGCAAATATTAGTGAAATAATTAGAGACTGTATTTTACTTTAGGCATTGTCCATCTCTATTTGTTCAGTTGATTGGAAAAAAAGACAAACCAATGCAACATTGAGATAGTTTATCTTTTGTCAGCATTCATGGGTAGCGAGCTGGTACGAAGTGTTGTATTACACAGAAATAGGCTGCCATGCCCCAGTCTACTCTTTGGTTAATTTACATTGAGTAGTAGGAACATCAGTGAATTACGGGAAATAAAACCGAAGGATACTTGATTGTCTTGAGCTTTTGGTGCAGGAAGAGGATTAGCGGTGACTGTATCTTGTTTATCTTTGTTACATTTAATCTCTTGCTGCTGCTTTTAATATTTCTTAAGTGGATTTATGGCGAGTTTTAGTGGGGTTTTTTAATACTGAACTGTTTCTTAGACAAGGTATTTTTGAAAAATTCTGTTGTTACTTGCTGAGTTTCCATTAATAAATTAGAATTTTAAAAACTTATTTTTGGGGAGGAGGGGTTGCATTTTATGGTTGATAGTTTAGTTTATTAATAGAAAAATTCATGATGAAATGTTTAATTTGGTGCCTAATCTGAAGTCCTTGCCATTGCAGGCATTTTCATGTGTGTGACAGATACTGCTACAGCTGTGTCACAATCATTTTATGATGCCTCCCCTTTCTTTTATTTGGCACACGCTAGGTAGAAAGAACCCTATACTTGGTCTTTGTACAGAATGAATAGCTGTTTGAGAGTCAGTGTAGTGTTTGGGAAAAGTAACAGCAATGGAGGATGAAGCTTGCTTTCGTTCAGTTAGTATGGACATACACTGTCCATATAGACTGTGGGTGCTGCTGTGACAGCGTATCCTGAGACAGGTCTGGATGACTGCCTTGGCAGGAGGAGCATTCCTGTGTACTATCTAGTCTTTCTACTTACAATAAATCTTAAAAAGATAATACAAAGACATGTTCATATGAAACTTGACTGAAAGTTGCTGCTTCATTTGAGAGAGGCCAAGAACAAACCATTCTGAAGTGACAGAATTTTTGGGCACATGGTAAATTATCATTATTCCAAGATTTAATCACTTGAGTGAAGAACCCCCACCTTTTCCATTTCTGAAGATTCAGCTTTCAGATGAACTGATCAGATAAAATAATTCATATTGTATAACTGATGTGTGTCCTGAAACTTTCTACCTGTTTCCCCTCTTGTTTAAGTACACTGTTTTCCTGTTAATGTAACCCCCTGCTATAGTATTTCTTCTTTTAGTTTTTAATCTTGCAAAGTTGGGACCTGAATACATCCCCTGTCTGTAGTGTCTTTGAATCTCCCATCTGATAGTTCCAGAGTGTAGACAAGCTAGGAAGCTAGGAATTTAAGATACCAGTGTTGAAATCTGGGTTTACATTTAAGATAATGTCTAGTTGAACTAATCTAGCAATAATAAAGTGCCTTAAAATGGCTGCAAATGTATTCCCGCCTACTCAAAGACATCTTCTCACTGGTAGCACATTATAGAGGATCTGTAGTGTAGTTAAGAGTTGGATCCTTGCCAGTAGATGGAAGCATTTTTTAGCATCTCTTCATGCTTTGAGCTTTTTCTGCATTTTTTTAACATAGTATCCAAATTGCTTCTTTTTCAGTCTCTTTCCATTTATTATAAGCTATTCCAATTTGTGCTAGTTCAGATTACTTCCATTTGATGTTGTAAACATTTTTTACATTCTTTTTTTGTGGAAGATATTCCTAATTTTATATTTTTAGAGCTCTTATATTCTTTATCCTCTCTTTATTCTGGGCACGTCTCTGCTTGTCAAATTTCTCTTCAATTTCTGTTTTGCTTTTGCAGTAATTGGCAGTCACCCTCTTGGAGCTCCTGAGGGAAATCATACATGTAGGGTATAACCAAAGCAACACCTGAGTAATACCACTGTAAGGCAGGAGACAGAAGAGTTCAGCCAACCATCCGCAGAAGAGATAAGAAGCTGTGAAATGCTCAAAGTAAGCAAACTGGAACAGCAGAGACACTGGGCCTCGTTCATTTGTAATGATCTTAGGTCTCAGTAGGCACATAATTTTTAGGTGGAAATGTATGTATGTATTTTTTTCAAATGTGATGAAACTCTTTTTTAGCAGTGTATATGATTTGTGAAAAACATAATAATCACTAGGTTATACATTGTTGTGAACATTCTTGACTCTCCTTTGTCTTTTTGTCCTTGATTTTTATTTGAATATAGTTCTCTTACATTAACTTCTTATTGGAAAAAGAATTTGACTCTGTTGTCAACTTGTTATTTTTTTCAGGAAATCCAAACCTTATAATTTAGTTTTTTAAAATTGCTTTTTGTTTAAATGTCTTACATTCATATCTGTAAGCATGCTTTGATTTTTGCATTGATCTTTGTGAAGGGAAATGGCTGCCAAGAATAAATGTTGAATTGTAAACAAAAAGCACTAGGACCTCCAGGTAATACCTCCTCAGAGCTTTCTTTGGAGACTGGTAGCGATTGATTGGATCTGTGTTCTCCTCTGTTGAATGGTTACAGACAAAAAAGTTATTACCTGGGAAGAATGGACCAAGGAAAGTGCATCAGAATGAAAACAATGAATAATAAAGTTGTACTGTTGCCCTGAATATTGCTTGCCTAGAAGGCTTGTTGGCTTACAGCACTGGTAACAGCACAGCCTGTTTCAGCTGTAGGTTGCTACATCTGATCCATTTCTGATTGGTAAAGATTGAACTTTGTGGTTAATGTATGACCGACTGGTTCACGTGAAATGTTTGATGTTCATGATGTAGTTGACAGGCGTTGTCATAAATCACAGAATTGTCATTAATGGATCCATCTTTTCAAAGGGGTCATGAAAATGGAATCATTTTTCTTCACCTACAGACCAGGAAGGGACGTAGTGGTGGTATACATAACCTTGCTCCGCTGCCACATGTACTTCGCATCTCTTTGAAAAAGCTTATCATTCTGAAGCCTTTCAGTGGAATTAAATTTCCCTCACCTCCATTTTTGCGTGCATATCAAGCCTATCTGAAGAACTTTGTAATGTAATAATTTCTACTGTTTCCCAAATATCCCAAATTCACCTTAGCTTATAAAGGTAGAAATACACATGGCATCAGAAATTTTACTTGCATACAGGAACAGTTCTGTTGGCATAGAAAGCTGTGGGGTATTATTCTGAGTTTGGAAACAGCACTACTACAAGTGCTGCTGTTCAGTTCATTAGTTTCCTGGAATTATTACTGTAGTTTATTTCTGAAGAGAATAATAAACAACCCTGGGAAAATTGTAGTATAACACTGAATATCGTTTTCATGCATGGAGAACTGATTTTTTTTTTTTTTTAGCTCTATTTATTTTGCTGGAGTTTTGAGATTTTTTTTCTAACATATGCTTCTGCTTCTTCAGAGCACTAATAAATATTTCAACTACGTAACAGGTCAAATACCAGCATCAGCAAATCTTAAAACATGAATGTAACTTATCTCACTCCATGTTCTTGTTGGACTGTTTGTCATAAGCTAGTCTCTTTTCTTTGCTCATGTCTGTTGGATTTTTGAGCTATGTTGATTGTTAGGATGCAGCCTGTAAAAATGAGCACCTGACCTACAGAAATGCTGTAGTTAGGAGAACAAGACAGTTTCTTCTGAAGACTTTTTTTTTTTTTTTTTTTTGCTTAGGTCCCTGCTATTGAAGGTTGATGCCATTGTGGTTTTTGAGAGAAGAAGCCTTTAGGAAATGAAGGGAGCCTAAGATTGTAGGGGGAATAATTAGAAGAAAAACAGTTGTTTAGCTGTAACAAAATCAGTGGGAAGCTGATGAATACAGTTTACAGGGCTGTGAATTTTTGTTTAGTATCAAAGCTACTAGCTCTTTATATTTGGAAGGCCTATTGTGTAATTAACTTCAGAGGCTAGTTTTATAAATTAAATGTTACAGTCAAGGTCATCAGGAATACAAGGACAATTGGAGTTGCTGTCTCACTCTGTGGGTTTACAGTTAAATGAAGAATAATAGTAGGTAGGTAGCAATGTGGTTTTTACTAGTATCTTTTTTCACCAGAATGTTGGAGTCCAATAGTGGCATAGTGCATAGGTGCCTGAATTTAAAGCTGCAAGTGTAATCCAAATCATTTGAAGGCTTGCAGTTTTGCCAAATTTGCAGTCATGTGTTGAAAAAACATGGTTTGTGGCAGAATTACCAATCATAAAATACATGTTTATATTTTCTTTCTAGGATCAAGTAGAACACACTGATTCAGCAGAACTGGCTGGTTGTGCTGCAGTCATCATGAGTAGGCACAGGGTCATTCGTTTCTTAACATATGTATAAGAGGAAAAGGTAAGAGGCGAGTTCTGCTTTAGAATATAATGATTCAGGGGTATGTACTTGAAATGCCTGTATTTCTATGTATGCTTATGAATATATATTTATATATGTGCACCTCTATATATGGATATATATCTTATAGGAGATGATGGAGTATGTTTAGCATTTTGTTGTTTTGTTTTTTATTGAGAGCAATTGCCTTGTTTCAGAGCAAAGATGTGACTTATTTTGTTTGGGGGAGGGGGGAACTGGGCAAAGTCGTTTTTCCTCAATCTATGCTCTAGGCAGATCTCATCAGTTAATACAGCTGTTGCTGAACTCTCTGAACAGCTGCTCATTACAGAAAAGGTGCTTGACTTCCTCCTAAAGGCAACTAATACAAAGGTCACTGAAGGGAGCTGGAGCAATATGTGGACTTGACCATTGTTTCTTGGGGTTGAAGGAAGTCCTCAGGATAATAATTTGTCCAGTTGATATGTAATTCCATGTTGTAATTCCATTCTGTGGGAAAATGGCATTTTCTGGATGTCTGATTTTTATCAGGATGAATGAATAATGTCTGGTTTCAGTTTGATCATGCCCCTTGTGACTTTCATTTTAGGACTCTCATACATATTTTTGGTGAAGACTATAAGAAACTACTTGAGTATTTTGTTTAATAAGAGTTTACTGAAACGTGTATGCTCAGAGTGTAATATTGAAAGAGTAGTCTACACAGGACAGCATGATAGAAAGTCCTAAGATTCTGCTTCTTTATGTACTTTATGATTTTTAGGCCTTTTCTATGAGATCAATAGTATGTTGGTATTGTTTTCTTTTGGTGCATTTTTTATTGTAGTGTTTTAATGTGATTGTGTGCTGGTCATCCGCTGTCAAGAAAATTTGAGAGACTTAAGGCTGTCAGTTCCAGTGGTGAAAAAAAATCTTGAGGGTAATTTGGAATGTGCAGTGTAGAAGTTCACAGGTTACATAATTCCTTATTGTAGAGAACAAAACAAATACCAGTCTTCCTGCTTTGCAGGTATAACACAAGGCCTATCTTTTTGTACAGTTCATTTCCCAGGAAGAAGCTGACATGTGAGATATCTGAGCTGTCTTGAGAGGCAGTCTCCAAGGTTAAGCCTGTTCAGAATATCATTTGATTTTAAGGAAGGTTTTTCTGTCCTTTACCTCTGTGTCCTTCCATCCCCACTAACGAATTAAAGTTTGTCTTATGTCTAAATGCTATGATGACTGGGATAGTAATTCTGGATACATGACACAGGCATTCTGGTACATGCACCTTTATATTTAGATATTAGAGGAGAGTAGAGCATGTAAGCTTGATAAAACATAAGTTTTTAAGTTTTAGAGATGAAGATAAGTCCATGCTATTGTATGAAGAAATTGCCAAGTAAAACACACAGTTTCTAAATTAAGCTGTGATCCAACAGGAGCTTGAAAATAAGCTGATTGACAGACTGTATGTTTTCATTGGATTTTTGCCATGAAATACAGGAGATGACTCTGCAATGGGTAACAAGTGATCTTGGGTTCTGGATTTACTGTACCAGTGGATGGTAGCCATTATACTCTATTTTTTTGGATGCAGAATTTAAAAAAAAATTATTTGCCTTTTATTTTTTTTTTTTTCATAAAATTAATCTTTTCTGCCAAATCTTTGCATAGAGGACTGTATTTTTTAAAAAAAATCTTATGCTTTTCACGAAATTGATGATTTATGTTTCCTTTTCCTTGCACTGGCACAATATCCTCCTCTTCATATTGTTCATCCCAATATATACTACATTAGGAAGTGTCTCCTTTTGGCAGCATACAGCTACAATTGCCATTGAAATTTCTTCCTGATTTGCTCATGTTTTTATTCTCACTTTTCCAGAGTTTAAGTCATATGTTTGCTGGTCAGCTTCTCTCAATGTCATGGCTTGAAATAGTTGAGCAATACTAAAGAGTTTCACAACTATCAAGGATACTTTAAAAATGTGCTTTCAACCTTTGTACTAGGAGGAAGTGTGGGGCTAGAATAATACTAAAACTGTTCCAAACTTTCATTGTGACACCTGTGAGTTACAGTTAAAGTTTCCAAAGACCTGTAAAGGAATGTTTCTATTTACGTTGGATCTTTAATAAAAATATTAAAAAAAGAAATTAAATTCTAAACCATGGGGAAAACATCTACCTGATTACAACATGCTGTGTTAGAGCATATTGTGTTTTCTGTTTTGATCTTGAGTTGCTGACTATGTAGAATTGAGGTATTAGACCTTGAACTGTCAAAAATACGAGTTGCTGACAATGTATTGGTCAAGAAGCATTGATGGTAACTGTTAGGAGCATAAGTACTTGTCCTTCTTTTCTGTCAGGAAGAGGGCAGTAAGGGCATTTGTGGGTTTGGCAGTGTGTTTTGTCCTTGGACAAAAACTTCTGGAAAAGCTTCATGGGATTGTTGTGTTCTTTTATATAATAATAATAATAATTATTTTAGTATTAGACCTGAAGATTTGCAGCTGACCTTTGTGAGCAATACCTACTTGCATAGACAATGAGATCTTATTTAGAGTGGCTGTCAGTTTACCGATTGTGAGTTTAAAAAGAAAAGATTCTCCATATATCCTGGTACATCAGTAAGTGAAATAACATTATGATATAAAAGGTCTTTTCTCTGTTCAATTTGGACTGTGAGCGTCCATCAGTCTGGATTTTTGCTGATTGCACAGTTGTGTACCAGTATTTGAGCTTCAGAATTCATATGATTACATATATTTGTTTATACATCGTTCTCTCTACTTCGAATTTTTAAAAATATAGAAAAAATTCTTCTGTCATATTGGACCAAGTTTAAACTCACAAATATTAGATATTTAGTATTAAGTAATACAGATGTTAATAAAATAATAATTTCACAGAGATGCTATGAAGTATTAACCACACTGGAATTGTAAGGGAGTGGGAGCAAAGTTCCAAGTTGTCTTCATATGCTCTTGTTATTGTTAAACATGTGGTCTCCTAAGTCTGAATATTTGTATTTTTCTAATGTTATAAAATCACTTATATAAACACTTAGTATAAAACTTACAAGCCAAGCCCTGACTAAAGTCAATGAAAATTATTATATTTTTTATGAACTTCAAACACTGCTGTTTTTGCTTAGGCATACCTTGTTCCTGATTTGTATGACATTGAAAAAACAGCTAATACAGGACTAAATTTAGGAAATGTTAGGGGCAGATGTGGCTTATGTTCTACTTACTCCAATGTGCATAAACTTGAGTTAAGAAGTAATTTTGTCAGGCTTTCAGTCCGGTGTTGAAGTTGTAGGAATGGTCAGGTCTGAATGCTTGTAAACATTTGAAAGTTACACAGAATCAAAATGAAGTTGTCCAAAGTTACTTGAAAACATGTTTTCAGCAACTATATAATCAGCATGGCATTCCTTCTCCATCAACTTGCTTGTCAGTAATCATAATCTTCTCTAAAATAAGCAAAACAAATAAAAAAAAATCAATGCTTGTAGTCTGTTTCTTTGGGGTCACTCATATTGCAGTTTGTGTTTATGTCCTAGCAAATACCTTGACTGGATGTCCTTTTTCGCTGTGGAAGTGCATGGACGTCTGAGTTCGGTGCCTTCAGGCAGTGTCACAGTTTAACTCTTGAACACAAAAATTTTGTATGACACTTTTCAGTCTTGCAGTGTTTCACTGACAAATACTCTTTGCATCGTTGATCTTAGTAGTAGGACTTTGCCTAGCAATAATTATTCACATCTTCATCAGTTGTTTGCTAGGCTGGAATGTTATCATTATGATGTAAATAAAATATATTATAAATGGATGTGAAATTATGTGGTATTTTGTACAAAATAGTCTTACAATAGGGAGTGTTAATGTTGGCTGATGCTCAGAACTCTGAATGGAAAAAAAAATTTCAAGCAGATTATTCATTGGGACAGATGCTAATTAAATTTTCAATATTTGATATTTACAGAGTTGGTAAAGATGCTTTCTGTTAAGGAATTGAAATGAGGTGGAGAGAAAGGTGCAAGAAAGTCTCCACACTCTCACAGTTTGAATGTAGTTTGAGTGAATTTATTATTTGTATGTCTAAGGAGAAAGCATCTGCTCTTTAAAATTATGTTGTTTTAATTGAAATGTGTGCAGTAAATGTAATTATTTCAGTTAGAATGGTATGAAAGTTTTTTAATACAGTGACCTGCTGGGGCAGATTGGATAACTCAGGAAGACCTCACAGTGGGTATCCAAGGGATCAGAGAGTACCCTCTGTCACAGTTAGAGATCAGAATTTAGCTTTTGGTAGAGAATGTAAGATGTTGAGCTTTTTTAGACTTCTGAAATGCAAGCTTTGATCAAGGTGGCCAGATTTTCCATTGCTTATGTTGTAATCTGTGCATCTCTGTACAGTAAATGATATGGCAAATCATCTATTTTCCTTGCAGGAGTTAATCTAAAATCCCAGAACAAAGGACAGGGAGTTTGTAAGGTGACAAGTCTAGTTTATCTCTGAATTTCTTTGCAAAATGGTTTTTTTTTTTGGGTGGTGCTCGGTGCAGTTTCTAAGTTGCTGTTATACTTATTGTCTTTTGTATAAATCTTTAAAACATAATTTAATCTGATTATATTAAACAGCAGTGTATTGATGTTGTAACATGATCATCTTTTAAAAACACCATATGTCAAATCTGAAGTCAATCTTAAAAACTTGAACTCTGCATTTTGTCATATTTTAATGCATGATCTTTTTGTACTAATAACCTAATCGTAGCTGTTGCCCACAATAAATACAAAACCCTCTATTTATTATTGTAATAATTGAAATAAAACTGGTTGATGTTTTCCTCAAATCCAGATACTATGGGGGCAATGTTAAAGTAAAGTATAATTTTAAATTGGAAACTTCCTTTGATGTGTTTGTATCTGTTGTATCTCTAGTGTAAAAGAGCAGGTTTTTAATTGAGCTGGAGACTAGTTGTCAGGTCTAACACTGTTTCTTATTGAAAAACAAGGTTCTCACCCTTTCCTCCTCCATTTCCTTAATTCACAACATTGAAAGACAACTCTAAAGAGAATAAGGCTGTTTTGGATGTTGTTCACAGAACAGATCAAATCAAGGTCTCTATGGTATATAGGTTATGGCACACATGTCTCAGTGAAAATGTCTTAGCTGGTAGTGAGATTTTTTAAAAAATGAAATAGGGTGTCTTGTTGCTACAAGTCTTTGGTAGCAAGAAAAGATATTCATACTGTTAGGGTAAAAAGGTTATGTATTATGCAAAGTTGTAGAAAGTTATTTAATGACTTAGGGTTGGGTCTTTTTTTCATTGCTCCCTTGTCATCTTCCTTTCTAGCCTGAGAGTATTATCTTTTGATGAGGCTATTTACTTCCATGCATTTTGCTAGGTTTCCAGTGCCTGCCTTTCAGGGAAACAAGGCTTATTAAAGCAGGCATTTTAAGAGCTAGCACAATTTAAGTAACACCCATTAAGTCCTTTAACAACTTTTACAAGTATGAGTCTTTGAAGCATTTCTGGGAAATGAGGAGTGACATAGAATACTGGTAGCCTAGTATACATTAAAAAATCAGAAGCATGGTGAGTTTAAACTACTTGTTCAAAGCCACATGAGCTAATTGGTGGTAGCATGGAACTGAAAGCCAGATCTTCAGATTGTTAGTTGGCCTTCTGATTCTCTAGACTGTTATTTTCTGACTGATGTTGGAGCAGTTTTGCTCTTACCATTATGCTGATGCTGATGGTTAAACATAGGAGACTGGAGGTAATAAAATCCAAAGCAAGTTTGAGGAGGTTCTTAATCTGAATTAAGAAAATTTAAGCACACAAATAATTTTTATTCCTGTAAAATACTTTTTATTTATGCATGTAATGTATGTACAATTTGATTTACAAAGGACTTCTTTCCCCTTAAATCACAGCAATATGTGGTGGAACACTGCTGACTGAAGGTTAAATATCTGTAATTTGTTCTCTGGCAGGTTCAGACAAGAATCTGGTGGTCTTTCTCTGACAAATGGAGAACTATTTCCAAGCAGAGGCATATAACCTCGATAAGGTTTTAGATGAATTTGAGCAAAACGAAGGTGAGTCATTTTGAACAAGATCATAGATACACCTTAGGTGTATTGTACAGAGAACACCACTGAAGAGGGAAGGATCTGTGATACCCTTTTTGCTTTTGAGTTGCAAATTAATCTCAGAACTTGCAAAAACCATCTGTCTCTCCAGTATTTTTTAGTAGTATTCTCTTCTGTTTCCATGCATCTTGTTTACTTTTCCAAAATTTCTCACTCTTTTAATAGCAAATTTTCCATATGGTTTTTAAAGTAAGGTTTTGTGAAGCTTAATCTCAGTGGCAATATTTTAATAATGTATTTTAGACAAATCAGGCAAAATTTATTTTAAGCTTCTTTTGCAGTTTTGAGACACTCGAACATAGAAATGTTTTATTAGGTCACATAAATCATATAATGGAAAGTTATATTTAAAGTATTAAATTTTTTGCTTAGTCTAATTGCTACTTCTGTGCTGTCAAGGAAGTTGAACATTTTATGGGAGTGGGAATCTTTCTAAGCATTTCTAGCTGTCTAAAGTGTATTAATCAGTACTTTAAGGTTGCTTGTGGAAATTCAACTTGATACTAATTGGTGTAGCTCTAAACTTCTTCAGTTCCAGAAACATGCAATTATACTACTAACGATTGATCAAGGATGTTAGTTATGGCAGATGTGTTGTACTGTTGTGCCCATATTTGAACATCTCTACATTTATATTCAGGTCATTCTAATGCAACAGAGTTAATAGAACCTGTAGCTTTAATAGGACAGTAAGTTCTTTTATTTAAACACTTTTTCAGATGCCGCTGTTTCACCTACACTATTGGGTGCAAAGTGGAATCAGATTCTAGATCCGCCTTCTCGTCGTCTGTCATTTAACCCGACTGTGGCCAATGTGAATGAAGCTACAACTCCTAATGAACGTCAACAGAGATTAAAGTCTTTTTCCTTGTCTCATTTAGTGACTACACCAACAGGAGGAGGGGATCACTGTGCTAATGGAAAGGATTTTAGCATAAGCCCAGAGACCCCAGTCATGTGGATTGATGATCAGGCAGCAGCAGACGATCAGTTGATTAAAAGAAACAGTAATCGGGATGATCAGTGTAACACTGTGGAAACAGGAGAAAAGAAATGTGGAAATACAGCTTGCTTGCCAGAGGAGAAAAATGTACTAGTGGTGGCAGTCATGCATAACTGTGACAGAAGAACACTACAAAGTGGCGATTTGCTGGATTGTAAAAATTACAACAGTCAGTCCCTAATGGACACTATTAGCTTTACACTGGATAATGAAAACCGACAGAGTGATCAGTTTAGTGTTACTGTAAACGGATCCACGGAAAAAGATATAGATACAGAAAAGCAAGTAAATAGGCTGTGCACTGAAGATGACTCTATAAGTCATTTGATTAATGCTTCATCTGAAAGCCTGACTGTTGCATGTCCCTCCTCTCGATTAAAGGATGATTTTAATATGAGTAAAGATTCACTGTTTTCAGAAGCTACAACTGCAGTGACTCGCTTACAGAGACCAGTTGATGGTACTGTTAAAATGCAAGAAAATTGTGTATCAGTTGAAAATTTTACTAGTAAAGCCATTTCTCAGAGAACAGATCTAGAAGCTAAAAACTCTTCTGGTTCAAGTAATGGAAGCTTAATTGTAGAACAGGAAACAACCCAACAGTTACAGTCTAGGCTATCTGGGCTCACTGAAACTTGTCAACCCAATGTGTCTGGAAGTGGCAATTACAAGGAACATGTTGCAGAACATTTTGCCCCTGAGGATGTTAGTGCCACTGAAAGCAAAGTCACTGAATATGATAAAAATCTTGGCACGACGGAATTGCTCAGCATGGCAGAGTGTTACCCTGAACCTCAGGAGATGACTAATTGGGAACTAACAAAGTTGAATGAGACGAATAATAAGCAAACTCTGGGAGAGAATGAAAGACTTTTGCAGACGAAACAGCCTGATGAGGCATGTAGTAATAGTAAAGAAGGTGGAGATGGCGTGATGGAGGCAGGCATAGACTTAAAAGGGACTGGTATAGATGAGCTTGAAGGGTCCAGTCTCTCTGATGTGGTGGCTACATCAGCAGCAAGCTCACTGTCTAATGGTTGTGATTCCTATGGAATGCAGAACCCAGTTGTTGCTCATGTTCCAAAGACTTTACCCTCCAAGGAAGACTCGGTAACAGAGGAAAAGGAGATAGAGGAGAGCAAGTCAGAATGTTATGCTAATGTTTATGAACAGAGAGGAAATGAGACCACAGAAGGAAGCAGTCTTATTTTAAACAGCACTGGTGACCACATAAAGAAAAATTATTTACATAATCTTTGTAGTCAGGTTTCATCCATGCAAGGGCAAACTTCACCAAAACCAGTGACTAATCTGCAATCTATCAGTGTTCCTTTTGGTGGTGCAAGACCTAAACAACCTACAAATCTTAAACTGCAAATTCCGCAGCCATTATCGGACCACTTACAAAATGATCTTGTTCCCCCAAATTGTGGAGGTAATAGTAAAAACAAAAATATCTTTGGTAAGACACAATTAGGGAATACGGGAGACACATTTCCTGGTGAAACATCTTCAAATGCCTCTGTTACTGATACTAATGGGGAACATTTGGAAGAGTATGAATCTGGAGTCTCCAGTAGTCCGTGCCTTGCAGTAGCCCCAGATAGTCCAGATAATGATCTCAGAGCTGGTCAGTTTGGAGCTCCAGCCAGAAAGCCTTTTACGACTTTGGGTGAGGTGGCTCCAGTTTGGGTTCCAGATTCTCAAGCACCAAACTGTATGAAATGCGAGGCCAGATTTACATTCACCAAAAGAAGGCATCATTGCAGAGCTTGTGGGAAGGTAAGTTTGTATTTTGTGAGTATGCTCAAAGCACACTTTTTTTTCTGGTACTGCACAAAATCAAAGCAGGTGACTTTCTAAGCCACTGGCTGTAGTTACGTGTGACATCTCTTCCTAAAAAGCCATGTCTGATTTGTGAAGGAAAAAAAAGGAGTTTCTAAGCTCTAACCTATTTAGGGTTCTAATAGAGAGTAACTAATTGTTATTTATAACTGAAAGAATTATAAGCCTTTATGAGCAGTGTATTTGTTGATTGCAACAAACAATGTCATTGGATTAATGTTGAACCGCTATAAAATGGCTTAGTGCAGGAAAGTAGATCGCAGAAATTACTTCATCAACAATCCCATTAAAGATATTGAAACACATTGATGTGAATTGGAAATCTGTTGAATTGCTGGCATTCCTGCTGGTTGAGATGGCTGATCAACTCTGTTCTTTTAAGTGTTCTTTACTAACTTTTCTCATATTGCATATATTATTTTAATATACATTTGCTTCTGGGAAAAAATGTAGTAAATTATCTGTAACCTGATGTATGTACATATGGTGAGAAATTTTGTAGTGAAGACAACTAAAACATAATTTCTGTATCATTTTGCATTGTGTAAGAAATATCTTATTGTTGACTTTTTTTTTTTTAGTTTTATATATGTGCCATCTAGGTCAACATAAATTCTTATGTGGCAAGTTTATGGTAAATGATTAGCTTGTAAAGCATTTCCAAGTATCTTGTTACTGAAATACAAGTCAGTGGCACATGGGAAGTAGGAATTTAGGAAAAAAAGATTATTATTCAAAAGCGGTAACTAACACTCTTGTCAAGTACATATTGAAGAATATTTTTAAGATTAAAAGAAATACTAAAACCCTCTAAAAATTAGACTAAAAGTAACTGGTTCATTTAGGCCCCATCCAAAGGTTTCTGAAGTTGATTGAATGACCTCTTGGCTGCTATGGATGCCATCTTTTGCTGCCAGGAGAGTGCAGGGGAGCAGAATGACCTGAACAAAGGACCTAATAGAAGCAAATATATCTGGAAAACTCAAACCTTTATGCTGTCTGTTTCTGGAAGCAGCCTAGCAGAAAACCCAGGCTTGCTTCTCTGTAATGGACTACATATGTGTCCCATTTGTCCTTTCAGTAACCAAAACGCATAGCATTCAGTCTCTTCACTGCAACACCAGATAAGTAGATTGTATTCAAATTTGATTTTGAGCCATGCTGAAAAATCTTTTTCAGGACACTTTTAAAAGCTAAGCAGGCAGTCATCGTGCACTGGTCCAGGACTTCCAGTTGTTTGCTTCTGCCCATCCTCTTGCAGGTTGGTTGCAGTGGAAGTCCTGATGTGGAGCTAGTAATCACAGGCGATCAGTAAGCATCAGATGAGGTACATGCCCACCTTTTGGTTAATATCAAAGGGCTCAATCTTTTTCTTATTGCAGTTAAGGAGAATCTGTAAGGCGTATAAGCTAAAGGAATGTCCATCATTTTAGCTTTGATATGTTAACTTATACTGTCAGTTATTTAGGTCATTCTTTTGGGTTTTATGAGTTTAACAAATATGACTACAATTTTCATTTACAATAATGTTTTCTATTGTGTTTTGAACAAATTCATTACTTGGATTTAATTACTTCCCTGTAACAACTGAAGCCTGGAATTGCACAAATGAGAAGCAGAAAATGAAAATATCTGTAAACAAAATGAATAAAACATGCACAGACAGAGCAAGGCCAAAAAACGTAGTGTGGGTTTTGTTTGTTTGTTTGTTTTTTGTGGATTTGGTTTTTTATTTGTTTGTTTTCATTTTTTTTTTTTTTTTAAACTACTAAAGACAAGCCATGAGAATAACAACCAGCATTGTTTTGGATGATTTGTGGGGAATGGCCAAAATAAAAGGTCCCATTGCTCTGTAGACAAACTTGTTTCTCACATGTGAAAAATGCATCATATATTAATATTTAATATTCTCAAGAGTGTTAGAATAATCCTCAGAATGGCTTGTTTCTAGAAGCTTTTGTTAGCTAATGTTGTCTGGGCCAAATTTGCACAAGTGCAGTCAAAAGATGTGGCAGAAAATGCTGGTATTTCATGGCTTCATATGTTATTTTCTCTAGAAGCAGCACTCTACTAATAAATGCTAAGAATTGATATAGGTCAAATAACACTTCATAGTTACTGCATATTGCTTTACAACACTTTAATTCCTGTGTGATTCGGGGAGGAAAGAGACCAAAAGCTCTGAGGGGCAAGCTCTGATAAATCTAGCTGTAGTGGCTTGGGACAGAGCTATCCTCAGCTCTGTGCTCTTGCTTTCTGGTTAAGATTACCATCCCAAAGCAAGTGACAATGACCATGTGCCTGGGGTATAGGTAACTACCGAATCAGTGATGCTTCCACTCTTTCTATTAAATGTATGAATCTCACTTAAAGAATTGGGGAGGTAGTGTCTTCGGATCTTGCAGTTCATTGTTTCTAGGGGAAGTCATGGGACTAAATATTTTTGAACACAAGCTTTAGCACAACAGTTTCTTTTTAAGATTTTTTAGCATCATGAGAAATCATTGTAGTAGGGGTGAATGTATCTGTTTCATTTGGGAATGAAAATTGCATTTAGAAATAGTTGAGTGGCACCTGGGAAGTCTGTCTCAGTTTTTAATTTCACGATAGTAATTGCAGAATTAATGGAAGATATGAACCTCAGGGGAATGGTAGAAAGTAATACACTTACAGTAAATTTGGAATTAAAATTAAGAATCTGAAGAATGTGTGTGAACACATTCATAAATTTTACCTTATGTATTTATGTATTTTCTATTGTCAGATGAAACAGTCATCCTTGATAGGAAAAATGGAAAATTTGTATGTCATCTTTTTACTGACAACCAAAACTATATTTTTTCCACTATAATATAAAAAAATCACCAAGCCCCCTAGCAACTAATGCCTTAACAACTCCTAGTGAACCTGAAAACCCTAATAACATAAAAAACTTGCTTTGACACTGCTACATTACTGTTTTCATAAGATGATATACTGAGATAGTGACTCGGTGATTGTTAATAATAAGACTGAATTGACAGTTGTGCTGGATTGTGTTCTTCCTCTGCGTTAGTACTGTTAGAAGGCTGATGCAGCCTAAGAGAAGAGGTGTAGAAGTTCTGTCATTGCTTCTATTTCCCTTTTTAATATTTAGATCATTGCACTTGGGAGCTTTGTTGAATGCACAATGTGTTGTTTGATAAAGGGTCCTAAATTAGATGTTAATTTGTGTTGAACTTTCAACTGGAAGCTTCTCCCAGAGAACTAAAAGGATGTCAAATGTCTCTAAAACATGCTGTGATGTTGTTATTAATATTCCCTAGAATGCTTGTAAGTTGGATTGAGGTGTAAAGCAGAAATCAGATTTTTAAAGTACATTTGCTTTTTTTTTTTTCCTAAAGGTTTTCACATATGCAAAAGAGTTTTTTATTTTTGCATGACAATGCCAGTGTATGCACACTTAAATTTTGTTTCTGAAATGTTTAAGTTAACATAATTAGGAAACATTAAAACTGGTTGAAATGAGACAAGGTGAGCTCTTTTTTTTTCACATTTGGTTTTCAACTCTCATGGTGAACTGAGAACTTATTTTATGTATGATTATTTTAAACATTTGCCACTAAAAGACTGCAAAGGTAACAGGCTGCAAAGTGGTTGTAATTTGGTGTGATCTTTAACTTGGTTGAAATGTAGTTACATTTATATATATTTATATGTGAAAATCTTATGTAGTTCCTTGTCTAGATTACAGAAATACTGTTACTGAAGTGATGATGCAGTAGGTTTTTGGATTAAGACAGCATTACAGAACATAATAACACATAGTGAATTTTAGATATAATAATCCACCTATAATTAAAATGTGAACGTCTCTCTTGATATCTGAACTCATTTGTTAGGTAGCCACTGCTGTTTCTAGATTTCCTGAGTGTGACATTACCTTTCTGCATGAAATGGATGTTCATCAGTATCTTCATACCACCTGAACAATAACCCTGAGGAAATACTGTGTTTTTTTTTTTTTTAATAAAGAAAATATTATTATTTAAAACAAATAAGAAATCATGAGGACACACTGATTTGTATGTTCTGCAGGATTTTGAGATTGCAATTGCTATTGTAGGATCATATCTGCATGCAGGTGTTTGTTTTGGTACACAAGCCATGCTCATGTTTTATGGTTTTGCTTGTCTGGAGGAAGCCCAAGACTGTTTCCTGCCCAGGACTGGGGAGTTGTTAGAGCTGGTTCAGGTGAGAAGCGCTAGCAGTGCGACTGCATCTCCGCAGCAGGTTGTCCTCCTGGTTCCCCTGTTAGCAGCCAGTGTGCATAAAATGCAGTTCCTGATTTCTCTCTAGTGTTGTGATGCTGTAGTGTTTGTAATCATGTAAATACGAGCTTGGAGTTTTTTAATGTACATATAAATGGAGCAAGATTTTCCTGCAGTACCAGTGTCATTCAGCTTTTTTAAGTGTCTTGTTTTAGATGTTGAACGCTTAATACATATTGATACATCACTTTTCACTTAAGTCTCAACTGAGGAATAGCTTGTTATATATGAACAGATTAAATAGCTAGAGTTGCTAATATAGATGAATTGTCCTTCTGCAAATAAAAATGACCAGTTTGAATTAATCTGTGCTATAGCAATCTCTTACGTAGAGGAAACTTGTGCATTTAAACATAGTTGATTCTAGAAAGTATTCATGCTTTTTCTAAGACTGACATTAATTCCCAAATTGTTAATTATGTGAGAGATTAGAAAGTGTTATGAATTTATTAACCCATTGTCATTTATGCCAAATACATATTTCAAAAACACCACAGTGCAGTGTCAGGACAACATGCATTTATGTGTTCCACGTTCATCAGCATTAGTAGGAAAGGCACCCTGGGCAGGTATTAGTCACTGGGGCTTTAATAGGAAAATACTAATAATTTACCTCCATATTTTGCATGTCTAGAGCTTTACAGATACTCTCTTGTCTGAATTAACCAGTTCATCACATATTTTTGAACAACACTTAAGTTATTTCCCCTTTGGTTCCAGGTTTTTTGCGCAGCATGCTGTAGCCTGAAGTGCAAGTTGCTGTATATGGATCGAAAGGAAGCTAGAGTGTGTGTAATCTGCCATTCAGTGCTAATGAATGGTAAGTGGAAAGAGAATCCGAGATGCAGCACTTCAATGGCTTTGTGTTGAGCTGCAGTGATGCTATTTTAAAAAAATAAAAATAAAAATACTTTAATTGTATGGGTAAGTATTCAAAAATGGCAAAGGCCTTCGAGAGATCAGCGTGGAATCCCTGTGGAGAGTGGGAATTCCTAAAATAATTACGATTAAAAAAAGGCAAAAACTGGTAAGGTTGTAATAAGTTTGAAAACTTTCATTTGTGAGTGCTATACCAGGATTGCAGAAACTGTGATTTTTTTGGTGGTGTTTTTTGTTTTTAATTCAGGAGCCTACTCCCTGTCCTTTGATGCTGGACTAGATAACCTGTTACACTTTAGTATGGGATGCCAAAGAGAAGAGTAATGCAGTTGTGCCTCTTCTTGATTATGCACTATAGGAAATCGGGAAATAGTGTTTATCCCCAAATTAATCCAACTCTTCTTCCTCCTTAACTCCTTGGTGCTAGAGTAGGAGGTCTTGTTTAAAAATCTGTCCAGAAATGTGGGAAGTTGAGTTTGAATTATCGCTTGGGGCACATTACTGGAGAGTCTGTCAAACCCAGGATGGTGCTGTGGCTAAAAGCCTGATGTGAACATGGGACATATGAGAGAAGTCACAAGTAGTTATGAAGTTAACAAGTAGAACAAACAAGAAGTATGTTACCTCTGCTTGGTGTAAGGAATGAGTGTGTGTGGTTTTGACCAAAGGGCCATGGAATCTATTCTGTATTTTGTCCTTTACAGTATTAAGTATTACCACTTCCGATACGTGGTAAAAATATGGGCAGACACGGAGTATCCTTCCCACTGTATCTTGAAGCCTCTGAAAATTTCAAGAACTTCCTACTCTGGCAGTTACAATTGGGTGATTATGCTGTCCAGTTGACTTATGTCCATGACACTGAGACAGCTGTTGCTGAAAAACTCAATGTTCATTTTTTATGTCTTGAATTGAGAAGGTAGAAAAAGTGGATTAGGTTGAGAGAGAATCCAAGTGAGTGCTTAAATCATGAGAAAACCTGTTTCATCATGAGCAGTTCCAGGTGCACTGTCTTTGGTTTATTAATGGAAAGGTGAATAGGTGACTTGATCTCGGGGTATAAATATAAATCTGGATAACTGAAACTTGATAACAGAAGTTACTTCAATTGTAGAGGAAGGTCTGACAGGTGCATTTTAACATGAGGTAGGTAGAAAGAGAAGTCAGACAAACTCGGGTTCTAAATGCAAACTTTTATCCAGTAGGATAACTAACTATCCTGATAATTACTGAACAGTTATTATGGAATCTCCATTGCTGCAAATGTTTAGTTAAACTTTGGAGACTTTTGATAGAAGGCTGCTGCTGTAATTTTAACCAAGAATTAGTTAGTCAAATTCTGTTTTATGTCAGCATTCAGACAAGGTGATTTTGATGGTATTTTTACATGTTGCTGTATAGTAGATTATTTGGGCTGCTGTTTTCAGAAGCAGCTGTTCATTTGTTGAGCATCTAACTTAATTTAGAAGTTCATAGCTTTATTTTTTCTCCAAAGAATTTCAGTATTATGTAGGTTTGGTTGAAAGTGACAGAGTGCTTAGTCTTGAGATAAGCATCCAAAATTAGTAGCCGGTTTCAGTTATTGAACAGGAATAATTTTTTTCTGTTTCAAAAAGATTAAAGATTAATCAGTGTGCAGTGGTAGGTTTTACTTATTAGTAATTCTTTACTGTAGGGCAAATGTGTAAGGTGACAGGAAATTTTAGGTTGTAACATCTAGGAATTAAAACCGAGTCCTGATGATGACATTAAAGGGGTGCTAAAATACTGCATTTTGAGATGGAGAAAATAGCACATCTCAAGGTGTACAAGAACAAGGAATTGCACATACAGCTGGCAAATGACAGTTGGCTCCTTTTGAGGGTGAGTAGGATTTGCTTTCATCAGGGGGAAGGGAAGAATCTGAAAATATTTCAGTTGAAACCAGAAGTGTTCTTGTAAAAAGGCATAATAAAATTGATTATATTATAATGATTTCCTTTTAAAAGCCTTTCTGTCCTGCTGCCAGGATGGATACACATTAATGGCTGTGAACAGTGACACCACTGCTTGGTTTATTATAGGGAGAGTGCTGCCTACAGACTTAGGTGTACTTGCCCTGGTCTACCTCTCTGTTTCTATCCCTGCTGCAGTGCTTTGTAATGATGCTGTTGGTTACTGGCTAGTTAGCCTGTAGCCTGATTGTATCTGATCCCTGCAGTTTCTTTGTTGTTTTTTTTTCCAATCACTGCAGCAAGTTAAGCATTAATATTTGCACAGTCTTGGAACTGGGGGTAGGAATCACACTTTAAAAGTAGTTATGTCATTTGATTGCTTGGTGTCTGGTTTGTGTTTCACTGGGGTGGGGGGGGAGAGCTGTATGTTTTCTGGCACTTTTCCATGGCCAGGCTATGTGTTTAATAAGTTTTCAATGCTTTTTTTACTGTATTTTCAATTGATAGATATGCTGAGTTGGCACTTTACTTGATTTAGGGAGGGCTTTAAAAATGTTCTTTTCCCATATCATGACTTTTCTAATAAAGGGGTCCTAGAGATGTGACTTTTCTTTGTGCATTTTTAACACTTCCTTCTTTCAGGACTTAGACTCTAAATGAATACAGAATTGCTATTAAAAAAATACTTCAATTTAGTTAATATTCTCAAACGGAAGTGTCAATACCTTTTCCATTGGCAGGCATTTCACTATATTGGTTTTGCAGGTTGATGGGGGGAGGGAGCAGGAGGAGTTTATGTTTTATTGTGTTCTGTTTGGGTTTTTTTTGTCTTGTTATTTTCACCTGTTTTTTTCTGACAATTCATAGCCAAAGGAACCCAAAGATGTATATGATTTATTGAGGCTTTATAGCAGCTCCGAGAGCTTAAGTGACGTGATACTTACACCTGACTAGAGGAGTGCATTTATTTGTAATATACCGAAGTAGTTGAAGGTACAAGCACACATACGAATTTTCTGGTACCTTGCATAGCTACAAGCCTTCCTTACAGGTGAAAAAGTAGTAGTACTGTGAAGATACAGTCTGTCTCACTAGCTAGAGGAGAGATTTCCCTGTGATGGATGTTTTTGACAAAGAAGTTTTATACGTTACTGTTTGGGAAATTGAATTAAGGCCCAAGTCATACCCTCAGAATTAATAGCATAAAGGGTGTTTTATAGTTAAGAATACAAGTTGTTGATCTGTACTGATCTGCCCTGGATATAAAGAAATGAAAGGTCCTTTTTCTCATACACAAAAGGTAAATCTGCTCCAGTGTCCTGTAGGTTATAAAACATTTGTAATAGGAATGTCCATCTGTCCATACAGTGTGATAAATACACATATATATAAGAATTGAGTATTTTCAGTTACATCTTTGAAGAGGAAACAAAACGAAGCATGAGGAACTAAGCATCTCTCAGGACAAAGTGTATTGTTGTAATTTTCAGAAAATATTTCTATGTGAAGTGGGTTTTTTATTGCACAGGACCAGTGCTGTTTCTCCTCCTGCTATGGATTTTCTTGTTTAATTACAGTCTCCTGGGCTTTTAAATAAAGGAAGAGAGATGGTCTTGGGCAGGTGGCAGGGTCCATACCTACTGCAGCTGAGAATTAACACAGTGTTTTGGACTGCTAGATACCTTCCTCTGTGTTCATGTTTCTTGTTCTCTGTTTGCTTTAGCTCAAGCCTGGGAGAACATGATGAGTGCCTCAAGCCAGAGTCCTAACCCTAACAATCCCGCTGAATACTGTTCTACTATCCCTCCTTTGCAGCAGGCTCAGGCCTCAGGCGCCCTGAGCTCTCCGCCTCCCACTGTCATGGTACCTGTGGGAGTTTTAAAGCATCCTGGAGCAGAAGGTAAGAGTACTTCTTTTTTCTTTCAATTTACCTGTAATAAGAATTCCGAAAGAATATCTGCACTTCATCCTTTTTAAATACTCTAGCTAATGCCCGTTGTGATATTCCTGCCCTTAGTAAGGACATCAGATTTTTAAGGACAAGCAAGCTGTTCTTAGCAGATGTGTTTAAACATGATGCTGCCATAGGGAATGCGCTAGATCATGTCTGAAGTCCCTTCCAGTCCATATTTCTCTATTTATTAATTTTTTCCATTTTGCTCTTCTGTACTCAAATTTTCCAGTTGTTGTTGCTGTGAGATCTTAAATCCTATTTTTTTACGTTCTCTCTAGTGGCTCAGCCTAGGGAACAAAGGCGTGTTTGGTTTGCTGATGGGATATTACCCAATGGAGAAGTTGCCGATGCAGCAAAACTGACAGTGGCTGGGACAACTTCCACAGGAACCTTAGCAGTGTCGCATGATCCATCAAAGCCCATGACCAACAACACTTTATCAGCGGAAGTAAGGAAGTGTTATGCTATTCACTGCTCAAAATACCATGCTTGTTTTGGTTGTGAATAGTGTATTAGCTTCCATGGTAAGACTGATCTAGGGAATCTGCTGAGGCTTGTCTTAGTGTGTTGTATAGCAAGTGTCCTCACTTATTTTAATGTTCGCAGAGTGTTGAAACAGCCATCTATTTTGAACTGAAATGAACTATTATGAGGCAGAGCACTAAGTAATGTTTAAAGTCGGTGTGCTAGGTGGCTTTCAAGTGTTTGGCTGTACAGCCTGTGTATGAAGGATATTTGTGTAATACATGTTTTAAAAAAGCTGAGTCATGGTCAGTGAGGACTTTGAAACAATAAGATTGTCGCAGCACAAAGCAGAAAACTGTTTTGTTTGGCACTTCTCATAAAATGATGTATGCAGCAAAGTGCAGATATAATTTAATAATGTTAAGTCCACCATACCCCATGTCAGTGGAATTGAGACTTTGCAAAAAGTTCAGATGGGGATAGGGTACATTTAAGTTTTGTAAAGAAATGGTATGTGTGGTGCTAGAGAAGGGAGGTGCAGTCTCTGTTTAAGCAGGCTTTTTAGTAATAGTTCACATACAGGAGTCATCACATGATCATCTGTTATTAAAGAGCCAAATCGCTTGGTGCTTCTGGTTCTCCAGCAGACACAGACTCCTCCACCTACATCTAGTAATCTAGTCAGCCTGCTCTTACATTTTTATTATTATTACTTTTGTAATGTTGTCCTTTCTTATTGTTTGTTTCTTGTAGACTGATAATGCTTCTGTATTCTCGGGAAATATAACTCAGGTTGGCAGTCCTGTTGGCAGTGCAATGAATCTAATTCCTGAAGATGGTCTTCCTCCAATTCTCATCTCCACTGGAGTAAAAGGAGGTGAGGGTATAATTTGGCAGCTAGCTTTTACACTTACCAGTTGCAATTGACCTAATAGTTGCTGTGTTTATTTTAAAAATAAAATGCTGGCAATATACTGAATATTTGACATCATTTACCATAAGTACTCATGGCTAGATGCTGTGACACTCATTTGCACCATTGATCCTTATTAGCATCCAGGAAGAACCCCATCTTGCAATGAAATTACTGTAAGAAGTAAAACACAAAGCAAAAAAGAAAATTAACTTCAGTCCAGAAATATGTGCTAATTTCTTCGCTAATCGGACTGTGGGGAATGTTTCACACAGAGATACATTTTAATTAGCCTTATGAATATTCATGCTTCCCTTCTGAAATTCTCTTGGAACATCCGCTCTGTCTGAGGCATCCCCGAGCACTGTATTCAATGACACTATTGCACATCTTGGCCCACAGTGAAGCTTTTAGTAATTGCGATGTCCCTTTCTAGAGTTCCCAATGGAGGAGGATTCAGAAAATTAAAAACTAATTTTTAAAACATGAAAAAAATGTATGTATTTGTTTATCTGACAGTTGCTTTCCACAGTCTGATTTGTGACATCCTTTAATACTTTCCTGAGATTTAATTTATTATTTCATCTTTGATTTTTTTTTTATTCCTATTAAATATTTTGCTGATACAGTACATTTCTAATGTTAAGCTGGAAGTAACCTTTTTATTGCAGGGTAGTGTAAAAACCAAAATGTGAGCAGCATTTAGTGTCAAAACAAATCTGTTCCATCCTGTTTTAGCTGTTCATATGGGTACCTGATTATTCAGTGTCTTCCATAAAAAAGGAATGAAATTACAGTATATTTATCAGTTTTTATATAGATAACCTTACATAAATTGTATTTTGTATGCTAAATTGATGTTGTTTTATATACTGTCCCATACAGGATTTTTTTTTTTGCAGCATTTTACTTCTAATATTCTAATTCTATTTAAAAAGATTCCAAAAACATTTTTCTCATCAGAAAGCAAAATTACCCTTCTTTCTAGATAATTTTAGCTGGAAAGGTAATACATTTATTTCAAAATATGTTTTCATCAGTGTAACTCTTTTTTGTTAAAGTTTAAATGCAGGCTAGATTATAATCACATGGATGAAAAATTTGCTAGTCATCTGGGTCTGATCAGAGAGGGACACTACAGATATCTTTGAAGTTTCATGTTGGGAACCATCTTACACTGGATTTAGACCTTTACAAAAAATATTTTATGTTGCATTCCCCTCTTTGTTACCTTCCTAGTAGCTAATGCACAGAAAGTCTGAGTTATATGACATAGGGATAGACCATGTGTTGGTGTTTTCGTAGCCGAGGACTGATGCTCTTGTGCTTTACTGTGATATAAATAACAATTATTAAATTATTTGTCATTTGGGATTTCAGTTGACACCATGACATATTTCTCAATTTGATTTCCATTTTCTTCTCCAGTTGATACTGAAAAAAAGTTGATTTATGAAACAAGCTGCACTTTTCTAAAGGATTTGCAGGGGTTGTGCACATAAATGCTATTAAAGTTTGAAAATACCAGCCTAGGAATTAATCAAACCAGCAATACTTAACTAAGGGTTGAGGGGTTTTTTAAAGGTTAAAAAATCAAAAAGCATCAGAATCAGGGTTATTTGATTATCATGTAGAGTACTGTAAGTTAAGAACTTCACTCTATGTTTACTTGTTTCTTCCATAGACTATGCTGTAGAAGAGAGACCTTCTCAGATCTCTGTCATGCAGCAGCTGGAGGATGGTGGCCCTGACCCTCTTGTGTTTGTTTTAAATGCTAATTTGCTGTCCATGGTAAAAATTGTAAATTGTAAGTTTTTATTATTAAATAAGTCTTGTGGTATAAGAGGGGAAATGTCATGTATGTTATTAATAGGAACAGCAGCATTTTTTATTTGGTAGGATAGTCTCTGAAAATGTGCATGGATTGAAAACTTTGTACTTATCCATATTAAGTTAAATTACAAAAGGCTCTTTTTTGGGGATTTAAACATTGATACACATAATTTTGTGTGGAAAATATAAAATAAACTGATAGAGCCTCCAGTCTCAGGTTTGGGGATCCGTGTCTCCTGTCCAGCTTAGTAGGACAAGGTATTTTATCACTCATTCTTCCTTTGGTTGCTTAACTCATTTCCCTGTCATTTCATTCTGGAAAGAGCAGATAGGATCCCATAGTAATACGCAGGTTCCGTTCCACTGTGCACCTCTTCTTTTCTATACAATGTGTGTGTGTACATGTGCCGAGGGAGGGAGGAATGAATGGGGAGGCACACAGATGGTTTCTCATGTCAGTGCCTCAGCTGATCTCTGCTGATTAGGAAAACATTATTTGAGGAATTGAGAAGGATAGTTTTGCAGTAAAATGTTTTGGTTCTGTGAAAAGTTCATACAATAAATTAGGATGATGTTTATAAATCTTTCAGCATCTAATTAGATAGCAGGACAATTTTTTACATAGATATAAAAATGTCATTAGTATGCACATGTATATTAGACATATTAGACAAAAGATTTTTTTCAATAACTTTGTATTTTCAGCAAATTAATTGTGAGGCTTAGAGTGTGTGTCATCACTGACATTCATGTGAAGCAGAACACCACAGTGATGTCTCACGAAAACACCTGACATCCAGCTGTCCATCTTGATAGAGATACCACTCCTAAACTGGTTTAGCTGTCAGGATCATGATATGCACAGCCACCACCCTGGCCTTTTTCCAGGTTCTTTCATATCCATTTAAATCCCATCCTTTGATTTGGATACAGAAACTGCTAAAAGTCTGCTCCATGGTGTTAATCCCAAGATCTGACTGGGAGCTGTAATGCTTTGGCTCTTCCTTAGCTGTAAACTGGGAATTATTGAGCTGCTTTTGTTGTGGATGTGCTTGCTTGCAAAGTAACAGATTTAGAACATAATTTGTCTGTGACATATATTGCAACAAAAGATGCTGTAAAACTGGTTCTTGAAAGAGCTATCTTCCTGTAGTGAAATTTAGGCATATTTTATGAAATTCTAATCTTCTGTTCTGATACATGTTTTCCTCTCTGCAGATGTGAACAGGAAGTGCTGGTGTTTCACTACAAAAGGCATGCATGCAGTGGGGCAGTCGGAGATCGTCATTCTCTTGCAGTGTTTGCCTGATGAGAAATGTTTGCCTAAGGATATCTTTAACCATTTTGTGCAACTTTACCGGGATGCCTTAGCAGGTAGGAATATGCTCTCTATTCAAAATGGTTTGAATAGATGATTGTACTGAGTCAGGTACATTTTTGTCATTTAGCAAATGGCTATTTTTGTATAAAAGAATATGAAAAGGTAATAAGGATCAAAGCTGATAGGAGGCTGAGTTGTTATTGGTTATTAGTATCCAGTGTTATATTCATCTCACGAAATAAAAGTATTAATAAGGTGCTGGTAACCTGGAGAACTGCTCCAAAGATCTTCCAGTCTTCCTCTGGGTGCCAGAAGAACAAAGTTTGGGCTATAAAGGTCATGTATAGGCTATTACAGCAGTGGAGCAGGAGGACTCTGCCTGTGACTTTGTGTTCAGCAGCCATTGCTGAATGTCTGCACTGGCTGCTTCTGCAGGTGTTGGGGTAAGAATTTGAATACAGCTGATGTATCTGAAATTAGTACTGTACTTTGTTTTGTATTAAGTGTAGTAGGATATTCAGCAAGGCTCATGAGTACACTAATGACATTACTTCTAATAGGGTAGCTTTTTTAAAGATACAGGAAGAAAATTTTGAGAATCCTTTTGTATAGTATGTTAATTATCCCCAAACCAGGTAGTGCAGAAATTTGGTTCCCATGGTGTATGTGTCTATTGCCACATTATGGAGATACTATTTATGTTACAAAGCAATACAAATATATATGTATATGTGTGCCTGGAATGTATTGTAGGGCATTGCATAAATTATCCCTGAATTTTGAATTTTAGTATCTCAATTGCAAGATTGTATTATGTAAATGGGCTTCTACTTTTAGCTACTGTTGGACTTTAGAATTCAAAAATTACTGCATAAGAAAAAATGCAAGTATCTGGTTCCACTGATTGGAAAATAAAGCTAGTTTTCCAGAGGTGAAATTGGATCACATTAAGGTTATATACTGAAAATACATTTACGAAGGGTTCTGCATATCATTTGCAATGCCTTTGGAGTGACTGAATCCAACACTTCAATAAAATAATGAAAAAGATCTTTGTTTCCTAAAATATCTTGATACAACAAAGGTCAGCTTGTCCAGAAAGGTTGCCAGGTTCAGAATGTACTATTATCAAATGTCATAATGGATCTCGTGTACACTGGAAACAAATACCTTTCCAAACCTCACTTCATTTGCAATGCTTTATCTTCTAATTATGATGTTATTCAGAGGGAGAGAGATATGAAAAATTGTGTGTGTGTGTGTGTGTATATATATATTGCAGATATAAATTTGGTTTGGTATGTATATTTCAATGAAGTTCTGTATAATTACACTACAGGAATACATAATTTATAACTCCTACATAATGTATTTGGAATTCTTTATTTAGTGCTCTAGTGGTAGTAATTTGATATCCTACAATTGCATTGGTACAAAGAGCTGCCTACTATTGTACGAGTCTTAATCAGAAACCAAATTTCACTGTTGAAGAATTCCACTGTGCAATGTTCCTTCATTAGGATTTGCTCTGTGTTGTATTTCAGACATGTAGTAAAAGTAGGTAGATGTGTTGAGTTGCTATATAATACCAAACCACACTGAAGTTTTTGTAGAACACGGCAGCTTGATAAATTCCCACAACATTTTGTAATGCACTCTCTCAATATCCAGCCTTTTTTCTTTCCAAGTCGTGTGTTTGAGAGGAAGAAATATATATTAATATATTTGCAACTCTGGCTGTTTTAAATGTTATTCAGCCAGAGAGACATGATATCGTGCTGTAGAGGTTTCAGTTTGGTGGTTGTGATACCTTGGAAGTGGTTAGCAGTTTGCATGCTGTTGTGGATGGAGCCATGCTTCCAGAGTTGTTCATTTCAGAGGTGCTACACCTCTCCTGGCAATTAGATGATACTCATTTAGAGTAAATGAGAATTCCCATTAGAAGTTAAAGACTATTTAAAACCCTGCCTCACAATTTAATTTTTCATTATATAATATATTGGTTTAAATTTATTTTTCCATCAAGAAACTGAAATAAATTCTGTGGATATTTTTTATTTATCTCCTTTAGTAAGTGTTTTCTTAAAAATAGTCATAAAAAAACCTACACATATAGTATTTTTTATTGGAGTGGAAACAAAAATTACTTTTAGTGATGTTAATTTTGTTTTGGAGTGATTTTGGGTTTCTTGGTTTTGTTTTCAGCTGAATAATACAGCACTCCCCTTTTATTTATTTAATTAAAGCCCATATCTATAGTGATATATTTTTTTCATGAGTCACATTTATTTACTAGCCCTCCTTGCTCAAGTTTGAATTCCGCGTTCAAGCCTAGAAGCACAAACTTGTATGTACTCCTGCCTTTTCCTAGATGTTTCTGCTTTCATCAGGGGATGACTTGTTTCCTGAGGCTGAGTCCTGTGCTGTGCTAGGTGCTGCTCTCAGCCATTTGCAGAGTATGGCTCTAGCATGGGCAAGGAGTGGCAGTGGAGCCCAGGCCTCAGACCGGCAGGCAGGAACACTTAGTCTGTACACTCAGTGCTTTGCAGTTTGTCCTTCAGATTCATCTCCTGTTTCAGCATGGATAAGATGTCAGTCTGGTGCAGCACCGCCCTGAGCCTTCATTAGTTTTGTTACAGGAAGTTCTCGACTTCAAGCTATGGTCTGGTGTTAGGACTTTATAATTGTGAAACAACGGAGAGATTTTGAAGGAAGAACGGAAGGTTATATGCCTGTGAGTTGTAATAAATTGTAAAGTTGTTCATTAAGGCAAGTATTAATTGCTGTTCACTTTCCATCACTTTATTTTTTCTCTGACCCCTCTGTCGTCAAGCTCCCTGCTGTGTTGCTTTTCTTGTTTTGAAATTGAAAGCTAATGATTTCTGTTGTGGTTGTAGTAGTTGTACTGTTGCAGTAGTAATCCCATGATTATCCTTGTCTGTTGGCTATAAGCCTGGCAGGAGGTCTAGTGAATGGAAAAATGAGAACTTCTGTCTGTCTGAATGGGTACTTTGAAGCAGTTGGATGTGTTAATATAGAGCTGCCAGATATGCCCTAGTGCATCAACTCTTTGGTAGAATACAATAAATGCTACTGTTACTTTTGTAGTGAAAATGCAGATCTTGTAACTGCTTGCAATGACTTTGTGATTGCCCTGGTTTTGGGGATATTCTGGGTGAGGGTGGATCTATCCCAGTCACAGTTTTGTGTATTTTTTACTCAGCCTGGTTTTAATTAAATAAGGTGGTAGCTAATGCGGAGTAGACCTATAAAAAAACCCATGTAGATGTTCTGAACAGAGAACAGGTTAGCTGAGTGAATAATACACCCCTGCAACTGTAATGTGGAAAGCTGGATACAAAATCAAACACCGTATAAGGTGTGAGAGTGTTTGGAAGACTGCCACAGACTAGTCTGAGAAAGTTTCAAATGCTGGTAACTGGTAGTCACAGTGATAATAAGTGAAGCATTATGTCCCTTGCCAATACGAAGAAGTTCTTTCCAAATTACTTGCTGATGTGTTTCAATAAAAAGATGCTGAGTATGGTCAGAACTTTGAATGTTGAGTTTCATATGTTTTTTTTCCCAGTGTTGGCATCTGCTACAGATGTGTTGTGCTATCAAGTTGCATTCACGGTCTTGTCTCTTCTGTGTCTCTTTGTGGCTCTTGATGTGGTAGTGACTGGGTTTGTATTGCTTTTCCAAAGAGTATGTGCTCATTTGCTTTTGAAGAAAATCCATCTGGCTGGATTGTTCCCAGGTGAATATCGCTTTGCATCTCTTGCTATAGAACTGGAATGCTTGGATTTTCAGGATGCTGGGATGGTGTTTGATACTTGGCAGTTCATGGTTCTTACTGATGACAGTGGACTGAAGCTGGACAGATGCAGCTAACTTCTCCAAACCACATATGTATCCCTCCCCTGAGACTGGATGCTGATATCAGGTTTTTGGTTTGGGATTAACCAAAAGATATGAGGTATACAGTAGAAATTTAACCTCACTGTTTTTGGTCAAAGCACCTAACTGGCTTCACCACATATTGAGGCCAGTAAACAAATGCAGGAGTTTTTTTTTTTTTCTTTACCTTTCCTGGTAAAAACTATTTTATTTGAGTCCAGAAGGGATTGGTAAACTGATAATGCAAAGTACATTGTTCATCAGAGGTAGAGGCCTAAGTGAAGGATTCAAACTAGCATGGATCATGACTGAAGAGGAGGTCACATCAGTGGATAAAAGCATGTTGTTTTAGAGGACTTCATAGAGCTGCCTAGGATTTAAAGTCAAGGGTAACCCAATATAATTGAGAAGAGAGTAAGTACTGACCTCCTGCAGAGCTGCTTTAGATGCATCATGTACACTCTGGCATGTCAATAATGTACACTCAGTAATGTCAGTTGTCTGATGTCAGGCGCTGGAACTTAATACAAGGAAAGGCACCTTTCCATTCACTCTGAGATTACCTCTTTAGAAAGGAAGTTATGATATTTTGCAAATTAAGTTACTTGCTTTTGAGAAAGATAGCTTTTTTGAAGGTTTTTCTGACAGCAACACTTTCTCTATTAGCTTCTGAAAAACAGTTCTATGTTTAAAATGTGTAATGGTGCAGTGGGTTGGATTTGTCCATGTCAGGTTGGTAATGGCAATTTATCAGTGGGGCCTTGACTTGGAGCCGCCTTCAAAGACATGGCAGGAAAGGCTGATAGTCCCTGGTCAGTGCAGAAATGTTTGTGAGACAAGCCCAAAGCAGCTTTCTGGTTTGTGTTTGCTGGTTAAAAGGGCACTAGAGAGGTGTCTAGGAAAAGGCTTGATTCTTCCCATGCTCTCCACAGAGCAGGCCTTTGCATACTCTTACAAATAATGAATTGAAGCAGAACTACCTAATCCCAATAGTTTGCCCTCTTATTAGTGGTGAGCTAGTGAAGCTTGCACTGTACGGGCTGCTTGTGTCAAAAGGAGTAATTTATAATGCTGTGGCTCATGGCAGCAAAGTGCTGAACAGCTGAGTTGCAGATTCCACTCTGAGGATTTTTTTTTCATGTTTCTGTTGGCTGAAAAAATTCCTGTTAAGGCATCCCAAGCGTGTGAGTCTTGAAGCTCCATCTCTTGAAACGGAAAAAATAAGTGGTCGTCCCCTTCTGCTGCAGCACTTGGCATCAGTCACAAGTGGATTGCTTTGTCATCCCAGTGGGCAGTACCACACGTCTCAGAACTGTATGGTATTGTACAGCTTCACTCTGCCTAGCCTCTTTCACACAGAAAATAATTCAGAAAAGGATGCAGAATTCAATTCAGTTTAGCAGTTCATACGCTTCATACATTTTCAGGTTAGAAAGGATAATTATGGTCACGTTATTGGAACCAAGAAGCTCACCGAGTAATTTTAATATCAGGCCTGTAGTTTCTATTTGGGTAAGAACAGATGGGAAGGGAAAAAGGAAGTATAAATGAAGAAGAGGAGATTAGTGAGGGTAGGTGGGAGCTGCAAAAGCAAATGAGTGGAGTTGAGATAGAAAGGTTCCAGCAGCTATTTTAGATAAGATAAAATCTTCTTGAACACCAATAGATACGCTGGTTTGCGATCGCTAGCAAGATGCCTGAGTTTGTGTGTTAGCAGTGTATTCACTGAGCAGGCGATAGTGTCACAGCACAGGCTGACAGAGAAATGCATTTGCAGATGGGCAGGATCGATGCTTTTGAGCAGCTGACAACATTTGATGTGGCTCTATTAATCATGTTAGTCCTTCGGTTTGAGGAGTAGCTACTTTTCATCAAGTATGCTCAGTTGAGCATTACAGAAATTGTAGCCACTATAAGAGTTCTGGAATTTGATCTGGGTTGATGGTGTCAGCTCTGGCTTGCGTGTGTCTGTAAAATTACAAATCAGCTTCACAGGATAGTGTCAAGCTATGAATGAGCCGCACACTGCCATGGGGTGCCTGAGCTGCTGAAGCCTGTCACCTTTTAACAGAGAACTTGAGAACTTAGTTTGTGCAGCATCTTGTGGGTCTAGAAAAAAATAAATTCCTCTAAGGTGCCCACAAATTTGAGCAGCAAGGAAACCCCTGAATTTATTTGTCAATTGGAGTATAAAAGGAGCCTTTTGTTTTCAGACCTGCCAGCAACTGTATTTAAAGCTGGAGGTCCCAAGGTCATATGAAAGAAGCAATTCTTGGTGGTGATTGTGCCAAGGTGGTCTGGAGGGATGCAAAGTAGCATGGCCACATCTCCGGAGTGAGGGCAGGATTATCTGTATTATTTTCACACCAGTGCTGGCTTCATGGAGAGTTACTATGACTTGGGACTTTCATAGGGGTTCAGTGTAGAAGTCAGACTTGAAAGGCCTCATTGGTTAACCTTTCCTTTGCTGGCCAAAACTGTACCTACTGTATTTATTTTTATTGCATTTGTAAATGCTTATGTATAGTTTTTAGGCTGTTTTGCAGAATGAAAATAGAGAGGACTTAATTTGGAAGTCATACTAGTATCACTGAAGATGTCAGTTGCACTTTCATGACTCACGTTTTTACTTACTTAAAACCTAGTGTTTGTGAGTCTTGTGTGTGTCTCTTTTGTGTAAAAGGGAGAAGCCTCCAGTTACTGTCCAGTTGATGTGCATGTCTCCAACATGCAGATCACTGCCTTGAGTTCAAATACAAACACGCCATTCTGAGGTGATGGAGAAGGAGCAGAAACTCCTGCTTAGCTGTCTCTCTGTTGGCCGGTGGGAAGGCCAGGTATTACTGCAGAAGCCCAGGAGGTCTGCATAAGTACCTCAAACCCATGTGATTTCTCATGAGTGGTGTGATCAGCCACACCACAGTCTCTGAAATTACTTGTGTTTTTCTTTGAGAGCAAATCAGCACTATTAATATTCGTATCTTCCTATGGAGAATTGTGATCAGCTGTTCTGTATGTTATTTGCATGCTGTTGTTGTCATTTGATAAAAGGAATCACACCATGGTTCTTTGCTTCAATGTTAAATGCTGCGTTGGATGCTGTAATAATCTAATCAACATTCAGATTCATTCAGCCATTCCAGTATAAACATTTTTGGAAATTAAGAGCACCAAAGACTAAAAATGTGAGTGAAAATTAGTGATGTTTCTCCCCTGTGTCTCTCTGTTGTGTTTTACCTTAAGTATACTAATTAAATAAACACTCTTGTGTAATTCTTAAAATGACCCAGATCTTCAATATGTCTCTGAGCAGGCACCCCAGTGCTTTGCCTAAATGAGAGGACAACCAGTGGGCATTAATTGTTTGACCAGGTGCACATCTCTCCTTTAATCGCAGCCAGATCTAAAAGTTTAGTTCAGTCAACAGCAGCTTCTGCAGTGGAAACCCCTTGAGTATCTGGAAGACACTGAAAATGGGCTTTCTTTGGGTGCTTCTGTAGTGCTAGGGGGAGGTTGCAGGTACCACTTCCTTAGCAGCAATACTGGCCTGAGCTCTCTGTCCTGCTCCCTGGCTGTGCCTGGGATGCATCATCCCTCCGTTACCCTGCCTCTGCTACTTGAAACAGGCAGATCTCCATGAAACAAGCAGATCAGAGAAATGATTGAGGCTAGCCTCCCTCCCTGCTGCCCCAGAAGAGGCGGGGTATGTCTGTGGTTGTACGTATTGTCCTGGCAACACTTGCAGGCATGGCTCAGTCAGGTGCAGAAATTAAGATACGTGTTCATGTTCCTACAAAATTGACTTTCTACCAGTGACAGTCACTGAGTACATGTGTCGCCAAAGCTGGATCAACCGGAGGTACCATGGGTTTGGTGGCTCTAGTCCACAGCAGTTACTCCATTACAGATCACAGGCTTTTGCACAGGAGGTAGCCTGAGTCCCCGTGTGCAGCAAATCATTGTTTCTTGTGTGATTAATAGACATTAGCGCTTCAGGAAGCAGAGTGAGTTTAATACGGATTTTTTGTTCCCTTCTGAAAAACTCTTTAAATTCTTCACTAAATTCTCAATCTAGTGAAGTAATGAGCATTTTTCTTCATAGGTAACGTCGTTGGCAACCTGGGACACTCCTTCTTCAGCCAGAGCTTCCTTGGAAGCAAAGAACATGGAGGGTTCTTGTACGTTGCAGCTACGTATCAGTCCCTGCAAGACCTGGTGCTCCCAACCCCACCGTACTTGTTTGGCATCCTCATTCAGAAATGGGAGACTCCCTGGGCTAAAGTGTTCCCCATTCGGCTGATGTTGAGACTGGGAGCTGAATACAGACGTAAGTAACGTTCATTCTTTTAGCTGCAATTATTTCTGCAGGAGAATATATTCCGGTTCAGAGCACACACACCCAGCCCTAAAGTTTACCTGTCAAAGTCACACAAGTTTAAGCAGGAAAGTAAAAATTATGTTTTGTACCCTCATTGCTTCCAACTAACAGCATGGCAATACTGAGGTTGTGCTATGACCTACAGCCTTTTTACAACTGTCCTAATTGATCAGGGAGATTTTTGTCGAGACAAATCTAGTTCTGAGCAGCTGTTTGTAGTTCACTTAGAGACCTGAAATAGTTACAGGCAGAACAAGCCTGATTTAGCTGGTGTAGTTAGGACATGGGAGAGCCTTTGAAATGTTAAGCTCTTTCCATGCTGAAGTGAAAGAGAATTTTCTTTTAGGTTTTAAAAACCACACTATTTTTCCAGAGGATAACAATATGTGTGCAGGGGCAACTGATGTGGCAATTTGTTGAAAAAATTCTCTGGCAACTAGTAACAAACAAGCTGGAGAGAGTGTTTCAGCTGAACAAAATCTTAGCAGTTAGCATGAAATTAGCATAAAGTTAGAATAAAATATTTTGAAAAAGATGCTTGCCATTGCTGGAGCAAAGAGATTATTGGAAGTCTGTCCATCATGATGGGCCAAAAACTTGCTGTCTTGCTCATCTGCTGTTCTAATTGGCAAATTGGTCTGTCGTTAATCTTTTTCAAAACTTTTTAACAAAATAAGCTTTAGAATATGCTTTATGGGGATTTGTAAATTTAACTTGCGGTGTTTAGGGGACACTGGGGATTTTTCATAAAATAACTACGTTACTGGAGAGGAAAAAGAAAATCTTCAAAATATGCTTTCTGAGGATGAGGATTGCAGGTTAAACGTGTCCAAAAAACATTAGTATTAAAGGTGTGTGAGTTTTTGTATGTATTAATGAGGTTTTATAGTAGTGTATTTGTTCCCATCAACATTTAGAAAAACAAAGATGCTCATATTTTGGATGTGACATCTGGTTTTGAGCACAGAAACAAATGTTTTGATACTCACAAACAGAAGTACCTACACGGAGTATGTTGGGAAGCTGGGGTTTGAATCACTTCTATGGCTGTGGTTTGGATTTAGGCATATTCACTTGTGCTGTGACAGTTGTGACTGCACATCACTTCCTCAGTTGCCTCTTGGAAGGGGCTGCATTTGTGTCCCAGGTTTCCTTGGATACATCCTCTTTTCTGGTGGAATTGGCAGATTTCAGCCATTTGTCCAGTACTGCTGGATGTGCAGCAGATCAGATGCAGGAGCCACTCTGGGTTGCTAGATATCCAGAAAACATCTGCTGAGCATCTGCAGATCAACTGTACAGCTCAAGCTCAGGGAATTCAGTGCATCTGGGACGTAGCTGAGCTGCTGTATGCAGCCAGGGCAGCAGACATGGGAAATTCAGTGCTTCTCGGTGCCTCAGGACACTGGGCACGAGTTGGTCAGCTATGTGGTACGTGTGTAGGAGCTGCGATGCTTTCCAGATATTGTATCAGTGTGATGCTTTCCAGATATTGTATCAGTGTGCAGAAGCTGGAGCTTATTTCTGTCAGGAAATCCTGATGATGTTATTCAAACCTGCTGAGCATTTTGCAGCCCCTCTTGACTACGTTGGGAACTTTGAAGCTGTGTGGCATTTGGGGAAATCAGGCTGTGTTTGCCTGAGGATAGCTTAGGAACCTTCCTTCAAACATGCATTTAGAAAACCTTGGCATTACATATTACTGCATGAGTCATGTTTCAAGCAGTTATGGCTTCTGCTGCAACATAATGTAATGCAGCCAGATCCATGCACTGCACTTTCAGTTGCATCATCGATATTTTACATACATGGCTAAGTCAGCCAAGGAACGCAGATATTTTTCATTGCTGACATACTGTAAATGTCCTTTTAATTGCTTTTGACATACTCCGGTAGAGAATTTGCCATGTTTTTATGAAATCATGAAAACAGAAAATTAAATAATCTAAATTATCACTTGAATGTCATGTATGTCAACAACAGAAGCTAAAGGCTTATGATGCTGTAGTGGCAAGAAGCAGGATGTTAATAGAGAAGAAGAAGCCATTTCCAAGAAGCAGCCTGAGAAAAGCATTTAGGAAGGTCATCTTTGCCATCAGAGTCCAGATTGCTAGGTTCAGTCTTGCAGTGTGGCACTTGTAAGCATTGCATATAATTCCTTTTATTGTTTCTAGCATGGTGGGCAAGGAGCCTTGACACATGTGAAGGTACATTATAATGTTAAACCCTTCTTCCCTTTTGCTTTTTAAACTCTGGTCTTCTTTCCAGTCTCTTCTTTTGCTGCTGTTTACCATATTCAACTGAGCAGATTGTATTTGAGTCTGGTTTTGCAGAATCTAAGTATGTAAATTTTAATCTGACCTTTTCTGTTTTGTTTTGTCCTAGTTTATCCATGCCCACTTTTTAGTGTCAGATTTCGTAAGCCTTTGTTTGGAGAGACTGGACACACGATTATGAACCTTCTTGCAGTAAGTGCTGAGGCTGAAGTTTGCACGTTCCATCGATCTGAATAGATCAGTGCGGGGAGAACGGCACTCCTGTTGCACATAGTAGCTGGCAGGATTAGGAGATGATAAGAGGAAACAGTGGGCATTTGGGTGAATTTACCTGTTGTTACTGATACTGGATGTTAGCTTTCAACAACACAGGGAATTGTAACAAGGTACCCAAATCAACATCCAAAACCTGGCCACCTGAGAATGTTTGGATCTTGAAACAAGTGCATTAGTTGCTCAGGTTCCTTCCTCAGAAGCGCTAGGTCATCACAGTGTGCAGTCACAGCTCTCTGATTAGACAGTGCTTCAACTGAAGTCAAGTTATTAGCTCTTCCTACTTTGCTAATGTTTTCAATAAAGAAAATTCTCATCGATGTGTGACTTAATCTCACTGCTAGAAAAACTAATAACTCTAATCCCATAATGTAACAGAACACAGAGAGCAGATTTTCTTACATACAGTGACGATGTTCAAGGCTGGAAAATATTAATGTTGATGTAAGAAAATCAGTGGAATGACTAAAAGTCATGATGATGTTTTTTCATTTGTGTACTTTAATTGTGTAGGTTACAAACTGTGATGTCTTCATCCCTCCCTGCCTTTCAGTCACTGATTACAATTATTTTAATGGGCTAACTAGCAGTCACTAGGATAGTCACGAAACCTACAGTATTAATGCTGATGATCGTGCCTAACTTTTAAAAACTTCTTTTAATTACCAGGACTTCAGAAATTACCAGTACACACTGCCTGTGGTCCAAGGTCTAGTGGTTGATATGGAAGTCAGAAAAACCAGCATCAAAATTCCTAGTAACAGATATAATGAGGTAATGCTTCTAAGAAATATATTTATGTACAGTTTCTTTGTGGTTGGAGAACCTGGGATGTAAAGTAGTTTTATTTTATTCACTACCACTAGGGAATACTCCCTCAAAAGCAAATGATAAATGTATAATGCACACATTTTCTAAAAGTGAGTGAGGGTGGCTCCACAAGACAAATGCAATTCAATTCAGTATTAGTTAAACTCTTAAACTCTTTTTCTTCTGGTTTTATAACTCTTTACATATAAAATGTAATACTGGTTTGTTTTGAGCAAATAAGTTGACAAACTTTACACCTGAGGTAAACTAGGAGGAAAAAGTGCATTAGCTCTTCTCTTCTATATTGTGTGTGCACACTCAAAGCATTTATTAGTATTTGTTGGATTGCTGTTTATTTTATGTAAAATTTCTCTTAACATCTGAATTTTATACTTGATTTCTGGTGTGAGAAAATCAGTCAGTGTCTTTAGGATTTAGTGCTGTTGAGAAAGCTGGGAGATAAGGTATTTGGACAATAATGAGAGCAAGGGAGAAGGTGATTGATTTCGTGTTCTTTCTGAAGAGGAGGGGGTAAGTTGGCATTCTGACACCAATCAGCAGTTGTGGTGAGAACAAAGCTCCTGGGGAAAATGGTATTTGTAAAAGTTCTTGTAATATCAGAGCAGAATACAGCTTTATCTCAAGAGAGAATTTCCTTGCAAGAAGCATTTGATTAAAATAACAGTGAGAATAAAGAAATAAATGGAAAAAAAGGAAAAAGTATTCCAGTGTGAAGTTTGAAAAAGATGAAACTGATGAAGCAAGAGGATAAAGGGTCTGTTAAAAGGTTTATTAATTTTTGATGCAGTTGTGAGAAAACGGAAAAGGTCAGTAAAGTTTGCATTAATTAAATACAGATTGGCACGTGAGGTGCAGTTTAGTGTTAGCTGTGCTTCGTGTCTGCAAGTGTGTTAGCTTCAGTTCTGTGTTGGACATGGTGCTAAGCTGGACTCAGAGTATTCCTGTGTTGTGCAGTTTAGCAAAATGTCTGCATCATGCTTGGGTTCTCTTTCCAGTGGGAAGCAAGGATTCAACTTTTTAAATGGAGGAAGTGTTATTCATTTAACATTATTGCTTGCAATCCAGTTGAAAGGTTGAATTACTAGAAATTTTTCATCTGAGTTTCGTTTGAATCAAAATTAATTAAACCACAAGACCTTTACTTTTTTTCCCCATGTAAAGCAGTATTTAATTAGAAAAGAGTGTCACTCAATCTAGAAAGTAGAAAACTCATTTTAAATCTCATGCACGGATGAAATGTGGAGAATTCAGGCAGTAATTAACAAATTAAACATTAATATATAGTTATTCTATTAAATACATATTTTTATCTTCAAAATTATTTAAATTTTCTACAACTTGCAGTGATACTTAGTTGCCTGTTTATTCCCTCAGCAAAGGTGACTGTCTTTTTTTTTAATCAGTTGCCTTGTTACAAAGCACAGTTGCCATGTCCAATTGTTTCTTGTTATGCTGAAGGCAACTACTGGGCTCCATAAAGATGGCTGCTGTTGAGCTAAAATCTCGTTTCTGGAGCATGACATGATAAACTAGATAATGAAATACACGGCTGTCTGATGCAAAATCTTAATTAAGTTTCCTCCCCAAACATTATACCTGTGCACATTTGTCATTAGTGAGCATCAGCTAATGTTCTTGACACTATAATTAAGGTTTTATGTTAGACTGAGAGAGACAAATGTGTTGTGTGTAGTGTTAATGCTTATCAGCTACAGGAAGCAGAGGATGGGAGTATGAGTGCTGTTAAGAGATGTCAAATAATTCAGCATTTTCCTTCTCATCAGGGTTTTCACTGAGGGGGGTGTGTGTAATTTAATTTGCCCTTTTTTCTTTTAAGCAAACATATAATTTTTGGTTTTGAAACAAATTCCAGAGATAGATGACTCCCTCATTTTTCTTTTGGATCAAAAATCTCATAATCTGAGCTTCCATGGAGAGAGGAGAAAAAGAAGGAAGCTATATAATTTACAATTTTGTCAAGGCATGTAACTAGGTATATGTTAGATGATAATTGGCAAACCTGAAGTGCAGATATATTACAAACTTTCTTGGATTCTTTCTGGAGGCTTCCTTTGCAGAGAATTAAAGTTATTTCTGGGTGTCTGTGACTCAGATCTTCTTTAAAAGTCTTCAGATTGGGAACACTGATCCAAATTTCACCAATTCATGCAGGTGAAGCACAGTGACACAAAAGCTTTGGTGTCTGGACATGGCAGGACCAGGATTAAAAGTTACTGAACTGTGGAGGCAACATTTACGATTTACGTCATAAGCAACTGTAGTTGTGTAAAGAAGCCAGATGTTTCCTACCAATGTTTTTCTAATGCGTTTTCCCTGTGAATTTATTTTTTAAAACCAGATAGAGATAATTGCTTTTACAACCTATATAGCTCAGCTATCCCTTACACCATTCAGCTTAATTACATAAAAGGTGGCACTTTGAAGCATCTGGATGGTATAAGACCTGAACCCTCTTTTCAAAAGCAGTTTATGGTTCTGAGTGCTAAAATCTGACATGAGAATATGAGCACTCTTGAGCAGCCTGCTTTGTCTGATTAAACTCTTACAAGAATCACCTATTTATGGTAGTGCTTGACGAACGGGGTAGAAACGATAAACCTTTTTGTTTGCAGATGATGAAAGCCATGAACAAATCCAACGAGCACGTTCTAGCGGGGGGAGCGTGCTTCAATGAGAAAGCAGACTCGCATCTGGTGTGTGTTCAGAATGACGACGGGAATTACCAGACACAGGCCATCAGCATCCATAATCAGCCGAGGAAGGGTGAGGAGGGGGGTCACGAGGAGGCCGTTCCCTCCCGGCGTGACTTCTTTGCCATTTGTGTTACCGTTCCACGTGTGGCTTTGTGAATCGGTCAGAACTGGGTTTGTCTGCATTTCACTGAGTTTCTGTTAGATGTTCAGAGCAAATTCTGACTGCTGGCTTTGCTGAATGGGCAGCTTTGTGAGTTAGACATGCAACACAAGGAATAGTAACACGTTGCTCTATCTGCCCTTCACCCCCTTGGTGTTTTATTCCCCTTGCAGAATCCACTATCTCGGATGTCAGGGAGCACACTGTGCTGTTTGCATCCTGTGTACAGTCCACATCACGCTTCTCTAGGTCAATGGTGCTGTTCAGAATTTGTCCCGAGGTGATCTGGCAACTTCGTAGGTGAAGCAGACATAAAATAAAGCACATAACAGCTTGCTCCCTCGTAAATATGGTAATACTGCTTGCCCAAAACAGCTCAGGACTGTGGTGCTCCAGAGGCTGCAGTGCTGTAGCTGGCTTAGACAACATCGCTTCGTTCATAACAAGAGCTGTATTTGGCTTTACTGGAGACTACAGGTGAGGTTGTGGGTGCCTGTGCTTGACCTATACTGTGTGGAAGGAGGAAGATCAGATATAGCGTGAGAGAAAAGTAAATAGGAATAACCAACAGCAGCACCATTTTAATAATGCATCTTCAAGAAATGCCTTGTGTTCACCTCAATTTGACCATCTAATTTCCAGGCTTTATTTTTATAAGAGTAGGCTGAAAGGCTGCAGCAGCAGTGTGCTGAGAATTTAAATGTTGTGGGTTTGGGGAAGATTTCTGGCAAAGACATTTATACTATTTCCGAATGAGAACAAGCAAGACAGAGGCCAGCTTTTGTTTCGCAAGTATCCCCAGTCACTCCAGTGAATATACTGGCATGGGATGTCACTCAGGACTGATGGTCTTACCTGACTTCTATTCATTTTATATATGGGATAAAAAGAGGGATTTCCATCAGGAATTTCATGATGCTTAGTGGTAGTTTAAGAGAATTTTACTTTAAATCAGGTGGCTTTGAGCTGTGGCCTTGCCTGTGGGTTGGTGTTACAGTGTGATCCATAAACAGCTCACTCACAATCTTTGCCAGCTGTGTGGGAGCATTTGGAAGTTAATTATGTACTTGGTTATCCTAAATTAGTAGTTCTGAAACTTAGAGGTGTGTATGGGGAGAGGGAGAGTGATGAAATATGAGCATTCATTAAGGTTGACAAAAACTGTTGTCCAGTTTAGAAAATAACTGGGTGATCTGCCCTTCCAGATCCAAGCCTGTGATGTGCATTAAAATCACCATAATTCTGAGCAGCATTTGTCCTGATTTAGATTAATCACCTCTCTGGATGACAGAGCTGTGATACCTGATTCTTGTAAAGGCATTGTTTTGCTGAAAGCCTTGCTAAATCATGCCTCTTGTTGTTGTTGCAGTGACTGGTGCCAGCTTCTTTGTGTTCAGTGGAGCTTTAAAATCCTCTTCAGGCTACCTTGCCAAATCCAGTATAGTAGAAGGTAAGAACTGAACTGATTGCTTAAAACACATTGCTCCCCTCTTAACACGGCCCAGCTCTGTAGTTACCAGGGCTCTGCTGTTATGCCTTGGGCATCTGAATTATGCTGCTGCTTCAGCTTTATCCTACTTTTAGCCAAAAAAACCCAGTTTGCTTTAATGAGGAGGAACTCGTCCAGATGCTGTAGAACAGGGACACAAGAAAATGAGGGTAAGAGATGAAATACCTGGCTTGTGAGCCTGTGATCAGTTTACTGGTTTGGGTTGAGTGAGGAAATTGTGAGCCTAAGAAATATGGAATGTGTAATCCACCGACCAGGAGAGGAAGCCCTGCTAAACTTGCTCTGTTCCCAAATAGCTCTGCATTATGCAAGATATTAATGTGCCTTGTTTATATGCTTGTATGTGGGCAGATGAGAACATGACAAGTTGAGATAGTTGAGCTGGTACCTCTTTGATTTGGTTTGTGCTTCGTTTACTGTGTACGCTGGATTGAAAGCCGTTATGGCTTGTTAGCTGAGCTACGGGATTTTGTAGTCTGAGCTCACCGCAGATGTGACAGTGCAGACAGCTGTGTTCTCAGTGTGCTTCTTACCGACGGTGAGCGAGGTTTGCAGGAAGCCTGTGTGTGCAGTTTGCACAGCTCCAGAGGAGCAGGAGCTCCTTCAGCTGCGCCAGCATGAGAGCTTGCAGCTGAGTGAGCGTGCAGTCCAGGGGTGAGCGGTCAGCCAGCGCTGACGAGCAGCCATCTCACTGTAGGTCAGTATGTGGAGGGCATTATTCCATTTTCTGTGTCTAAACTGATGGTTTAGTGCAAGACAGGGGTATGGGTGGGTTCAGGCAAGGAGTCTGTATGCTGGGGAAGGGGATCATTCCTAAATAATTTCTGCAGTAATTTAGACGGATCCAATCCAAATTCTGTCTTTTGCCACTGTCAGGCAAATTGACTTCTCAAAAACTCTGTCAGCACTGGAGTGCTGCTTCCAGTGCCAACAGAGGTGATGGCTGAATGGAGGGGGGTCACGCGGGGTCCCTGAGCGCTGCCTAGAGCAGGTGTCATGTTTTGAGGCAAACAAATAAGGCTGGTGCTGTAGCTGACTTGACCTGGCAGATGGACTTCACACTGTCCTTGTGTTTCCCCTCATCAGCGCTCATCAGTGCTCCGTTTTAGCAATCTGAGAGTTCAGGAGTGGTCTTAGGTAGTATTGCTGCCAGTGACTCTTAAACTAGATGTTTAACCATTCTGTTGTAAAAGAGGAAGGATGTTTCTTTTTTTCCATAGAGGCTCTGTTCAGTGTGGCTTAGCTTGGCTTATGAGGATTTCTTGGTTCCCTAGATGGAGTAATGGTCCAGATAACTGCTGAGAACATGGACTCTTTGAGGCAGGCCTTGAGAGAGATGAAAGACTTCACCATCACTTGTGGCAAAGTAGATGCTGAAGATCCTCAGGAACACGTTCATATTCAGTGGGTAGAAGATGATAAAAACTTTAGTAAGGGGTAAGTAGAGGAGCAATCGCTTGTCAATGAATGGTGACTGTTTGACTGATGTTGTTAAAAATTTTAATAGATCTTATAAGGTGCATGAGTCTTCAAATCAATAGGAATTACAAGTATGTGCCTCTGTTTTGACTGATAAGATGCAATTAAGTGTAATGAAAATGGAATTGAGATAGCAGAGCTTTGGGGCATCAATTTAGAAGGTTGTCAATGCTATGGATTTTTTGCCATTGCTAATATCCAGTTATTGGAAACCACTAATCTGTCTCCAACAGTCAGTGCTGAACCTTGCGTATTGTGGTCACTTTGCTCTCTTGGTGCTTAGTTTGCAATAAGTGGCGCTGCAAATAAAATTGCTGAACATCAACACTGTATCTGGACTCTTGATAGTTAAGCCAAAAGAAAGGTGTATATGGCAGCTTAAGTATTTATGGCAATAAAGTGCTGTTGTGATGGGTACAGTGTTTAAGGACTCAGCATCTAGAAAAGCTATTTCCGTAGTTTCAGGCTCTCTGGGTCAGTCTTAGGTTCTGTAATTAAATTCTGGGCTGTGTTTCAGGTATTGCTGGCCTACACTGAGGTTACAAATGAAAAACAATCAACTCTGTATGAAAGGCCTCATTGCTGTGTTAGCACCTTACGAGCTCTCGGCTCTGGTGCGAAGCTGTGCTGAAAACCTTCAGGAAGGTCCTTCCTGCACCTGGGCTGTGCGCGTTGACGGGGCGGGTGTGAGGGCTGGGAGCTGCAGGGGACAGCAGGGACCAGCTGCCTCTCCGCTCGTCCCTCCTGCTCAGCCCATTCCAGCCCGGCAGCTCCCTGTGACGCTCCAGGCCCAGCACCATCGTCTCAGGTAGCAGCTGCGTTCAAGATCACTGGGTCTGGCACCCTGAGAGAAGCCCTTGGGTTCCCTTCTGAGGCTAATTTTGGTCTATGCCCCAGTGAGCTGAGGTGGTAAGTTGCTGCGTAGGCGCAGGTCGAATTGCAGAATGCTCAATTATAAAGAAACCTGCAGCAAGGCAGTTGGAGGCTTCAGGTGTAGCAGAGGAGCTGCCCCGTGAGCCCACGCAGTTCTCTTTTGCCACAGTCTCAGTTCATGTCTTCTGCTAAGTCAGAACTTTCCTTTTTCCCTCCCTTTCAGTGTTGTAAGCCCTATTGATGGCAAATCAATGGAGTCTATAACAAGCGTGAAGATATTTCATGGCTCAGAGTACAAGGCAAACGGAAAGGTCATTCGGTGGACAGAGGTAAGGCAGTCAGATTGCGCTGCGGAGAACCCAACACTTGGCACTTGGGGATTTCAGCCACCGCCTGCTCTTCTTTCAAACCACTCTCCCTGCTTGCCAAAACTAAAGCAGCAAATTCTTCAGAACAAACCTGCGTTACTGTTCCCACCTGCCAGGAGGGATTCGGTGCGGCATCGTGCAGAATAAAATACCCAATCAGTGACGGGCGGCTCAGGCCGCTGTCGCAGCCGGCCTCTGCAGCCCCCTCTGCACTGGCCACCTCTTCTCACACATGGGGGAACCAGAAAAATACTTGCTTCCTGTTACCCAAGGTAACAGTTGGTTTCATCTGCATTTGTGGTAAAAACCTACCTTTTTAAGTGGAGACAAACCTTAATAATTATTTTTAAAAAATTTTGAGCCACCTTCTCTAAAATGTTGCAAGTTAAAAAGAAAGTGCTGTGACATCAGTCACTTGCAGAAACTTCTTGCATAGCTGATGGTACCTGGGGCTCTGCCAGCACGCAAATGCTGATGTTCAAAGATTTTTCCAAGTGTTTCATTTAACCTGCCCAGGAGGAACCGAGTTACTCACGCAGCAGCTTGTCACCTCCGTATTCTTTTTGCTTAGGTCAACCAGGCTCAACAGAGACAAGTTCAGTAACAGTAGTACAGATCTTCAGGCTGGGATGGCTTCTACTAAAAATGTGAATTTTCTGAAATTAGCATCTGTTCAAAAGCAGGTTTTTGTTAAAACCGAGGTGCAATACCTAGTGAATTTCCATAACGAGGCTTTTGACCAGAACTGAAAGGTGTTTGAGAACGGGACTATTTAAATCTTTCTTATGAAGGTTTTTTTATTTTCCCCGACTAAGGTGGCTTGTCTCCAGGGTCTTTTGCTGGACTTCCCTGAGCAGCTCTTCTTCAAGTCTTCATTTGTAAAATATTTAAATGGCATCTCAGTAATGTTATTTTCTAGAAAAGCCAAGTGCTATGATGTCTTGTGTTAACTCTTTCAGGTGTTTTTCCTGGAAAATGATGAGCAACATAATGGCCTGAGTGACCCAGCTGACCACAGCAGATTGACTGAAAACGTGGCAAAGGCTTTCTGTTTAGCGCTCTGTCCTCATCTTAAATTGTTGAAAGAAGATGGAATGACTAAGCTAGGTCTGCGTGTTACACTTGACTCAGATCAAGTAAGTCTTGAACAGTTTTGGTTTAATGGGGGGGTTGTTCCTTTGTTCATTCCCCAAGAAGGGAATACACCATTTACACCATTCTCTTGGTTAAAGAAGTACCAATCTCAGATGCTCAGCTGGTGCTGCTGGCCGTTGTTTGGTGTTTTGGGCCATCTGTTAAAATTGGAAAGCATGTGCCGAGCGTGAACGGGCACCAGGCTGGACCCCCCGTGCCCAGCAGCACCCGCCCTCCAGTCGGAGAGCGGGGAGCAGCCCTGTGTGGTGCAGCCCTGCCACGTGCTCGGGGAGACTCTAAATTGGCCCCAGATAAAGACAGGAGTGTATTAAATGTATTCTTGGGTGAGCATAAGACAGCGTCCTCGAGCATGGCGGTTTGTAAAAGATCACACTGCGTATGAGGCAGAGAAACTGACGGAAGGTGCCCCTGAGAGCGCTCTACAGCCAAAGCTACAGGCAGAGAGAAGGGGCTCCTGGTAAGACAGCTGGCCTTGCCGGGGAGTGGACGTGCTCTTAGTATCAACCAGCTCCTAAATACTGCCTGGCTTAATGTGATAATGCAGGGTGCGGTTCCTGCTGATATGAATGATCTACTTTGACAAATTAGTAGAAAAAAAGAGGCTACTTTTGTCTAGGCAGCCATTGGGAACACAGAGAAGAACAAAAACAAGCGTAAAAGCTGCCTGAGTGCCTGCTCGGTCCTGTTCGAGTGCCCGACCTCCCCGGGCAGAGGCCCCAGCCCCCCACACAGCTCGTCCTCCTGCGCAGCACCTCCCTTACTGCCCACTGAATCACAGCCCTGTGTCCTGTTCTCTGTAAAACCTGCTCTTACTTTGTATTTTTTAGGTTGGTTATCAAGCTGGGAGTAATGGACAGCCCCTGCCCTCTCAATACATGAATGACCTGGACAGTGCCTTAGTTCCAGTGATTCATGGAGGGGCCTGTCAGTTGAGTGAGGGGCCAGTCATAATGGAGCTCATCTTTTATATTCTGGAAAACATCTCATAAGAGGACTTCATTTTCTGTTCAGACCTGTTCCAGCAGCAGTTGTATCTGAATCATTTGCACTTTAAAACTGGAAAATTAAGCTTTTGTTAACACTATTGGGGGAGGGGGGGGGGGGAGGAGGGAGGGACAGTTGTTCCATAATTCTAAATCTTCTATGCATTGTCAACAAACAGAGGATCAGGGCAGCTTCTATACTACAACATGGCTATGCTATCCTTGCAGCTAATACACTTCTGTTACTGTTTAGAAAAATGCTCATGTTTAAAGACTTACAGTCATGTACTCTAAATGCTCAAACGGGTGCAAAGATCACTGGGGCGTAAATAAAAAGTGAAACTCCAACCTTGTACTGTTTGTAGATGGACACGTAAGAAACAACAATCAAGACCTCCATTCGGACCTCATCATAATGCCGTTCGTGGTTATTCTGTAGACATTATAAAGTAACGTTTACATTATTTTGACCAGATTATTGGTTGAAATACATTTGGAGTAGCCCGTGAGAGAGAGGGGAAGATTACCTAGCCATAACTACATTTGTATGTGCGTCCAAGTGAGCAGAAGGGCAGGCATCTCGCTGAAAGCGGTATTGTGTAGACTGCAGTTTTGTGTGTGTAATAGGCTAGTTTACCTTTTTCTTCTATCTACTCTAAAGACCCATCACCTTGGCAGATTTCTGTAATCTCCTAGAACAACTCTGCTATTCTGTACTTTGTTTACAAATCTGTATGAAGCAGAGGAAATATTAGCCCTAAAGTGCAGTTATATCTCATTCCTCTTCCCCAGTAGGTCCTGCTTTTTCAAGAAAAGTAACACCCAGGGCAGCTTTAAGTGTCCTCCTTGCTGTATGCTGTAGTGTAACGCCAGTGTCATGTAATACCAAACAGCTTGCACTTCATATTAGCAGCACCATGTAAAAGCTTACCTGTGATAAAAGTCTAGAGCGGCTGTTTCTGCATGTTCTGCTGAAAAAGGCTTTCTGGTCAGCTCTGAACACTCGCCCTTGGCCCAGCGCTCCTGGTCTCACCTGAGAAGGCTTTAGTGAGGAAAGCAGCTGCTCCCATCTGCCACGACGCTGTGGTGCTGGAATTGAGAATCAGCCCGAGGAAATGTGGTTCCACGTCGTTATTGTCTCCATGGAAAGCTGCTAACCAGCAGGAAGCAGGAGCAGGGGGTCGGTTTGTTTAGCCACAGCCACGCCAAGCAGCTGCTTTGAGTCCCTCCCAGCAAGGGGGGACAAAGGTTTCTCCTCCTGTCTATATAGAAAAGTAATTTGGGAAGAGAGGAGCTACTTTATGGTAAACACAGTATCTCAGACCTTGCATCATCCCTCCTCACAGTCAGTTCTGGTGGATGCAGTGGGAATTATTTTCGTTTTACTGTACGTGAGTAACAGGCGTCCTTTTAAATATAAAGGGAATTGCAAGGCTACTGTGAGACTGATGCCATATTTTTAAAACAAATATACAGCATTAGCTGGGCAAAGGAAAAGGTAACTGTACACGTAGCAATGTATTTTATGTAAAGACAGCACAGTATCTGTACAGAGCGCATTTGTGAATAAATGGCTACTGCTTTTTAAAAAAAGCAAAGTCTGACAAATCCAATATTGCAAGTTACAGCTGTCACCACCCAACCCCTGGAGAAGGCAGGCCAGAGAACTGGGGTCCAACTCCAGAAATAAAAGCTGGCCAGCAAGAGGTAGCACACTGCTACAGGTAACAGGGTACATGTTACATCCGAGTGAAACCTTACCTCTGGCAGTTGGGAAGAGGTGGCTGGCCCAATGCGGCTTACTTAATGTTTCATTAGGGACTAAACCTTAAGCTATACACAATCACTAGCCTTCTGAAGTATCTGTGCAGCAGAGCAGGACTAAGGTTACTTTCGGACTCCCCTCTGCACGCTGTTTTTGCACCCTTTGGGACACAGTGCAGCACTACACGGTGCAGGCAAGATGCAGTATCTGGAAGAGCGTTCCATAAACCAAGTAATAATCTTCCTTCTAGAGCCTGCACTCCAGCTTTGCCACAGCAGCGGCTTTCCAGTTACTTTAGTTGCATTGTTATGCTTAATAATGCAGTAAAAGAGGTGAAAAATCTTTTATCTTCTCTTCCTTTGCCCCAAAAGTCTTTTAGGTTTGGATTATGTTTGTGCAAAACACTATCAACTGGTGACTGACATGTTTGCTTCAACCATAGCCTTTTAAATGACCTTAATTACCATGTTGTTAAGAAATGAGTACTTGTTTTAGAAGAAAATTGTACTTTTAAAATTCAGTTAGTTAACACTGCAAAAAACTGCATATTATATTTTTATTTTCAACATGTAGTTTTGTATATTAAATTTATTGAAATTAAAAACTAAACACTGTATTGTCTTCATCTGCTCAGGAAGACAGAGGCAGCGCTGCCTGACTTGTCTGGACTCTTTTCTGCCTACAACCTTGCCCTACCTAAACAGCTGGTGCCAGAGCGCTCCGGCTCCCCCGTGCAGGCACGTCCTCTCCTCTGAGATCAGTTGTTTCTGTTAGCCCGCAGAGATTTAAAAACACAGATGTATTTGGTACCATTTTTCGTATGCTGCTCATCAAAAGCATTCCTGAAAATAGTCGTCATCCAGTTTTCTACGTGACAAAGAGTGGCTATTTTCCCCATCACCTGGAATAACTGTAAAAGCTTCTTTTTGTAAAAATACAAGGAAAGTTTGAGAAGCAGCAGTCTAGTGTACTTTTTTTTTTTCCTCCTTTTTTAAATTTAAGGAAAAAAAAACAACAACAACAACAAAAAAAAAAAAAAAAAAAACAAACAACAAACCAAAAAGGCTGAAGGCACAGTCCTGGGGCTGCACTGAACATGCAGTGCAGCAAGCATGGCAGACAGCTGGTAGCCAGAACAAAAATGCAGATCTGTGAACACCTGCTGCTAAGAAGTCTTGCATTCTTTTCTTCTGAAAGGCAACATCCCATTGAACTTTGTGTTGCGATGGCATGTGCAGAGGAGGGACACACTGCTGCTAGGTTGCTGCCAAGTTCTCTCTCCTCTATTTTAGGAAACAAAAAAAAAAACCCCACCCCAAACAGGCCTTGGTAAGAGAGAACAGAAAAAGCAGTCGCGGACTGTGCACTGTACCACGCTGGCAGCTCACACACTTGAAGAAATGAATTCTAGTAAAGGTCTTACCTGTGACTTGGCTGAAAAGTTTTTGCACTGCCTCAGGGAACTTTTAAGGGGCTAAACTTTTCACACACCGCTATGCATAGTTAATGTAACATTCATCCTGGTGCTACGTTAGTAGTCCCACATTAAGGCAATTCTGTCTATTTTGTGTAGACTAGTAACAATCCCCTGCAGCAGCAAACTTCCAGAGCCTTACATCTGCCGTGAAGTTATTAATAAGCACTATGGCTGTTATCAAAATAGACATTAGGTTCAGTAGTGCATTCATTTAACATCTTTGGTGCTTGCAGCTAGCAGCATCTTTCTACATATGTTCATCCCACTTCTTTCAACATTCCAATGGATCTGGGGAGACAAAAAAAAAAACAAAGCCCAACAAAATTACTCGATGCAGTACTTAACATATCTTCACAATTCAAGGTCACCTTATATATTAAATGCTGACATGAATTTTCTGGATGGTCAACTAGAAAAATCAATGGAACAAAATTATTAAGTTGTAGTGACTGAAAGTGCTCAGGTGTCCAGTCACAGCACAAGGCCAAGTTGTTACTTCAGCAATGGCCATCGAACGTGTCCCTCAAGCCTGACTGTGAAGCTCACAGGCAGCTTACTGACCTCCCGGGCTGTGAGGAAGAAACCACTAAACAAACAGTCCCTTTGGTGCTACAAATTCAGGCTTGTGTATTGAAACAAGACCTCCCAATAATCTGTAACATTAACACAATTTGGAAGCAAAGGTGTGGCAAACGGGTGATGTTGCCATGAAGCTGATGAGCATCAGCTTCACTGTTTCCCATGAGAAAAGGTGAGGTTTGTTCCGTGCCCGTGGAGCGGGGTCCTGGTCCCAGAGGAGGCTCTGCTGGCCATCACGGGGCAGCGAGGACCTGCTCAGGGGGGACCAACATGGTCACGGCCCCCCGGGCAGTGACGCCCTGGGACCACTGGGAATTTGCACATGCGCCGAGGGGCAAGTGACTGTCCCTAGTGAGTCCGTGTCCTCTCCGTGGCTTTATCAACAGCAGCTGTGGGAGAAGCGAGGACCTAAGTTTCAGGAGAGTGGTGATTGTGTTCAACTAACCTGAATTTCTTTCAAACATCAGACACATACATTAAAAAAAAGGCTGAGCTAGGGATTCTACGGGCAGATGGACTTCTGGTATTTATCTTGCAGTAACTTTATGTAGAAAAATCACTGTAGAAAAAGACACAGGATTTTTCTGGTATTTAATTGGTCTTGGATTTTTAAGAAGGAAGAATTTGTGATAGCTAAAAATCAGAGTATGAGAAAGGAAGACAAGCTCCAAACCCAAGCAGTTTCCACAGAAGCTGGTGAGAAGAGGAGGCCTACCTCTTTTTCATCCGTCTGATATACAGCCACTTTGGCAGCATGCAGCTCCTCTTCTGTACTTGGTGTAAGCAAAGTGGGCACCAGGCACAGTTCTTCAGGTAGCCTGTATTCAACTGTTCTGTTTCTCCCTGCCCAGAAGTCTCAAGTATCCAGAAGAGAGCCCATCTCTAATAGTTTCCCTTTCAGATGAAGTCAAGCAGACTTTCATGGGACAAGCGCATGCCCTCGCCTAGCCACTGGCAGGGGAAGAAGGGTCCCTGCGAACTCTGAAAGGGTTTTTTGCTAACAAGGATGCACAGAGAGCACCCTACCTCCTAGAAAGGACTCATCAATTTTATTTTCTAAATATTATTCTAAACGAAGGTTACGCTACAAGCTCTCCCTGTATTTCAAGTGAATTTGAAATAGCATCTTTGATATACAAACCAGTCAGAGCTTCTGTAACCCCAATTCTGAAATTATGTCAACTCACTGTTACAAATATAAAATGAATGGGATCAAAGCCAGAGCTGTCTAATTAGGTCAATGTCAACAAAAGACATTGTTCAAGCAGAGTTTATCTGTAGCCCTGTCAGGTTCTGCCCAGACCGTCTTTAGACGCAGTATTCATACCTCAGACAGAACTAATGTTCAAGGACCAGCCAATTTTCTGTAATTGTTTGAAGATCTTGACCACTGAGGGGCTCCCTGAGTCTCACTTTTACCTCCAGTTTCCCTCCAGTGGGCTTTCTGCCATCAAAAATCTGAAAGAACCACAAAAAGAAGAGCAGTTAGTGCACATACAAATGATAATGTCAAACTGTAGTTGCCTC